GTTGATGGGGTTCTGGGAGTTCTTCTACTCCCCAAGCCCGGCCCGAGGCCAGGCTCGACTTGTGAGAGTTTGGTCCACCAGGCTGTTGCTTGGAGCGGCCCGCAGGCCCACATACCCACCACAGCCCGGTTGGTCCGGCACTCCTTGGAGGAATAAATCTAGTTTCCTCTTGAAAATGTCCACGGTTGTTCCGGCAATATTTCTTATGCTTGCTGGGAGGACGTTGAACAACCGCGGACCTCTGATGTTTATACAGTGTTCTCTGATTGTGCCTATGGCACCTCTGCTCTTCATTGGTTCTATTCTACATTTTCTTCCATGTCGTTCACTCCAGTACGTTGTTATTTTACTGTGTAGATTTGGTACTTGGCCCTCCAGTATCTTCCAGGTGTATATTATTTGATATCTCTCTCGTCTTCTTTCTAGTGAGTACATTTGGAGGGCTTTGAGACGATCCCAATAATTTAGGTGCTTTATTGCGTCTATGCGTGCCGTATATGTTCTCTGTATTCCCTCTATTTCAGCAATCTCTCCTGCTTTGAAGGGGGAAGTGAGTACTGAGCAGTAGCATCAACGGAAACTGAACTGTTTGCCATACAACAGGCATTCGCATATGTGATTGCACAAAACACTAAAATGCAATCATACACACTGACTCAAAAGCTCCACTTCAAATATTAGGAAAAAAAAGCAGTGGAAAGAACGTGGAAATAATTACCACCATTTTGTATCTAGGAGCAGTCGCTAAAGGCAAAGGACTCAACAAAACCCTAAACTGGATCCCATCCCATTAAATGAGAAAGCCGATGAAATTGCTAAATTGGCAACTCGTCATCCAATGATTCACAAAAGAATCCGAGCCTAGAGTACATAAACACCATCGCCAAAAAACTTACACATTTCAACAAAACCCATCTACACTATTGAGTAGCAGAAGGTTCGCCCTCTGCAATATTATATCTTCAGGCCACCAAGTTACGACAGGTTTAATATCCAGAAAGGAATCCACAGAGAAACAGCAGTTCGGATATATAGACTACGTCTAGGTTACAGATGCAACTGTAAAATTGTGAATCCAGAGATTGGAATGCATCTTCTGCCAAACAATCACAAAAAAGCCACTACTTCACTATCTCCTGAAATGTGAAGCAACCAACGACTTTAGAAGGGCTTTAAGAGTCCCTGAATCTTGCAGTAACCACCCTGAAGCCATCAACACTGTCACTCTTCTAGTCAAAAAAGGTGTCCAGCAGCTGGACACCCTCATAAATACTGTCAAGCAGTATCCTTCCCCCCGTGATGTCAGCCACATAGTAAGGATTGACGATTTAAAAGCGACCACAGCACACAGTATATCCTCTCATGACCAAAGAACACATTCACTCCAAAAATCTACCAATTACGGGCTATTCATGCCCGTGCTGCCTCTTGGGTGGCTTAATAGACATGGATGGATTATTACCCATGTCTGGAGACGGGTAATAATTGTTAGTTCGTTCATGGGAAAATGAAGGAAATATTGAAGGACAAAATGAACAAAAGTTCAAGAAAAATTTAATTCTATATGAGTAGACTTCAGAACCACTGGGAAGGATAGAGAAGTGAGAGGGAAGAGGGTGAGAGATCTCACTTGAAGGGATAACGAGCCAAATGTCAGGACAGGAGAGCAGCTAAGTGTGGTAACGCCCCACTAAGTTAACACCGAGAGGTCCTTCTGGTATCGGGGGGGACACAGCCTCACTCACCGCCTTCCTTTTATCAGTAAATACTCTCCTCCACGCCATCAACGTCACCGTTGTGCTGGAGATGTGGCTCTTGCTTCCAATATGTCCGTCCCTTGCCCCTCCCTCCCTCTCTCTTTCCCTCTCTTTCTCTCTCTCTCTCTCTCTGCTAAGAGGACAAAACCGGGAAGATGAAGTGCCTCTTGAAAGTGGCAGTAGAAGGCATGTGTTAATGGAGGAAAGTTGACGGTACAGGAGTCGGGGATATTCACGTTTCTCGAGAACAGGAAAGCTCTTAGTTTTATCCAGGTCATCCCTCCCTTTCCCTAGACTGACGGCGCGGCCACCCATACAGTTACTGACCAAACTCAACGGTGTTTAACCTGCCTATTGTGATGTCCGCGTCATCCATTGTGCTACACCCGGTGTAGGATGGAAGAGGTGGAATCCGTGCGACCTGGATAATGGAATAATGGAAAGGGTAGAATAGTGGTAATTCGTGTGCATGTGCGGGTAGTGAGCGAGAATTGGGACGTGTCGTCCTCCTCCTCTTCCCATTTACTGCATGTCTTTTCATCTCGACCACAGAGCGGCGTCCTCGCTTCTTGCAGAGTCAGCGTTCGATCTCAGATATTCCAAGTGGTTGAGCACTGTTCCTTCACATCCCATCTCCCCGTCATTCTATTCCTTCCATGTGTCGTCCTCAGGTCGACCCGACATCATTCTACAGCCAGATTCCAGACTTATCCGGCACTTTCTGCAGACACATCTACAGTTCTCCCTTGAAAACTTTGGCCAATGTTCGGGTTGCTGCAGGAGCTAGGGCACCCATCCTCACCCTTGCGGGGGGGTCTCAAGCACCCGTCAACACCTCCCCAACTATCACCGAAGAATCCCCCCCCCACCATCCCCGCGGGAGGTTGAGAACTTCGCGCCAACAACTGGCGCTCTTGTGAATTTTTAATTTAAGTTTGTTGTGTAATGAGGAACTCTGGAGGCGCACCAACACCTGTTTGCTTACTTTTTGGCCTTTGTTTAAAACTGTTTCTCTGTCTTCATACTCCGGTCTCCCACGTGCGCCTCTTCCCATTCTTCAATCTCAGGCGTAGGTGTGGCGTGGGGTGAGAGGTATGGCTTGAAGTGGGGGTGTTGGTGTGGCCCCGATCCTGTCCTGGTCGATGAGACTTTCCTGAAATGTCTATTAAAAAGCACACGTGAGAGTAATCCATTTTGTTCCTGATTACATATTACTAAGGACGGTTTTGAAGGGCGTTGCATCCCAGGATATGTTAACGAACAAACCACATCAGTGGTGATAGTGCCCAGCCAGTCCCTTCAATGTGAAGTTACTTGATATGTGCTCCACTGATGCCATTACTCGCGACAGTAATAGTTTTCTAGCAAAATATATAAATATAAACAATAATATTCTACAATACAGTAAGAGAATATAAAATAGCAGTGGCATTTACCTGAGGACCATCGTGTTCACATACCTCCAGTAGGGGGGGAGGGACAAAGATCCCCTCTTCATTGTTTCTGATTTTGTTTCCAGTTGGAATCTAAACAAAAGTAATGTCTTTTTCCTTACGGCTTCGGCGGGTGGGCGTCACAGGTGCACACTCCATCGTCCACTGTCTGCTGGAGAGACTGCTTCATCCCACCTCCGGGCGAGCAGATGGACCATCTTCGCCCACGTTATCTTCAGAGGCCGGGGGGGGTAATTGCCCCTTTGGAATATTTATTGAAGCACTTAGGATGCCCATGGTGACCACCCCAGTATAAACCGTATGGTGTTTCCGCCGCTGCAGGGTTGGAGCCGTTGTGGGGGGGTCAAGACTGTGCTTGATGCCAGTGGGGGCGGAGACCATTGTGGGGTTGGGGCCAATGTCTATTGGGTCCACGTTGGGGTTGGGGCTATGACGGGGTTGAGATCGGTGGAGGGTTGAGTTAATGCTTTGGTACAAAATTTACCCATCAAAGTTGTTATATTAGTCTTTTGATTAATATTTCCTGATGTTACTCCTGCTCAACAACTTGGACTGGAGGTCAGAGCGACGGTCTCGCTTCATGCAGATCTGCCTTCAATCCCTGAACGTTCAAGGGCTTGTTCCCATTTCCATCACCATACACTTCCTGGTGTTCAACTCCAGTAGCCATTTTCGGACCAAATGTGCTTGTGTGTGTACTCACCTAGATGTGCTTGCGGGGGTTGAGCTCTGGCTCTTTGGTCCCGCCTCTCAACCATCAATCAACAGGTGTACAGGTTCCTGAGCCTATTGGGCTCTATCATATCTGCACTTGAAACTGTGTATGGAGTCAGCCTCCACCACATTACTTCCTAATGCATTCCATTTGTCTACTGCTTTGACACTGAAAAAATCTTTCTAGTGTCTCCATGGCTCATTTGGGCACTCAATATCCACCTGTCCCCCCCCCCCCTAGTGCGTGTGCCCCTTGTGTTAAATAGTTTTTGTCTACCTTATCAATTCCTCTGAGAATCTTGTATGTGGTGATATTGTCCCCCCTAACTCTTCTGTCTCCCAAGAGACACTGTGTGTGTGTGTGTGTGTGTGTGTGTGTGTGTGTGTGTGTGTGTGTGTGTGTGTGTGTGTGTAAATAAATTACAAACTCCACAAAGGAGTGATTTTTCAGTCTAGTGCATCTCGCTTTGCTGCAGAGAAACATGTGTGTTCAGATGTATAATGTATCATATAAAATACACAAATTTCTAGCGCAAACCTCTATTGTGTTGCAGGTGTTAGTTACCTTCTGAAAATTGTAACATTGTATTCTATATACTAAATAAACATCGTCTCTTCCTATACACAGTCCAATCTTACCTAGTAAATATACAACCCGTTCTCGCAAATTTAATAAGTCAATATTGACTTATTAACTACGTGCAACCCGTTCTCGCAAATTCGTAAAGTCAATATTGACTTATTAAATAAGTGCATAGGTGACATACTAAACATAATACCCTTAAAAAGCTTCATAGAAAACACCGACCTTACCTAACCTTGTTAGTATCTTAAGATAAGCATCTTATAGCTTCGTAATTACAATTATTACTTAACCTATTAAAAATATATACATGAAATAGCCATTTGAAATGCCATTTTTTTTATACTTTATCACTCTGTTGCAATGAGCTCAATTTCAGTAACTTTTATAAAATTGTATTCTAAATTAACATGCCAATAAAGAACCTATGTCTTCTTGGTCATAAATATTTCCAGCTTTCCTTTGCTCTAATACTTACCGTTGTCTCCACAGACCTTCCCAGCGGCCGCACCACACAAGATGGCTACCACGAACATCAGCTTGCTGGAGACATTGGGCAACAGTTCCTCGGGGGCGCCAATGATAGAAGATGACGAAGACGTATGCCTGGCCACATACGGAGGCAAGGACAGCGTACCGCCGCTCAAGCTGCCCCAGTTCATCTGTGGGGTCATTCTCACCATCGTTGGCCTCCTGGGGCTGGCCGGAAACCTCATCTCCATCACTATATTGTCAAGGTTCGTGCATGACTGCGGGGAGTTTTTTGTGAACCTGTTCTTGTTCGAAACCGTGAATCTTAACCATACATTTCATTTACCACAAAGTTTTCTTGAAATTAACCGGTATCTATTTTGCATGTTGGATTTATATGGGCTTGAAGAGTTAACTTTGAATCACGGAAAATTACTCTTCCACTGTTTTTCAGTGCGTTAGTGGCAAGGTGTAGTGAAGCTAACCAAGTTATTCAGTCTCTCGCAACAAAATTGTTCTTAAATTTTACACAGTAATCTTTTATTTGGCTCTTGATTATATTCCCTTTTCAGATGGCATAATCTTTAATCTATAAACTTTTCATTGGTCATTCTGCCCTTCCCTCAGACCCTGTGGTTGTTCTACATACTGCCCTTCCCTCAGACCCAGAGGGCAGTACATAGTTCCTACATAGTTCTCTCCTCAGACCCGAAGGCCCTTCTACACACTGTCCTCCTTTCAGACCCAGGTAGCTCCTACATACTGATCTCCCCTCAGGCTCAGAGGCCGATCTGACATACTGCTCTTTCCTCAGACCCAAGATGCGCTCGTCTATCAACTGCTGCCTGATCGGCCTCACCACCTTCGACATGATTGTCGTCACCACTTCAGTGCTCATGTTTGGAGTCCCCGAAATAGGAGAATACACAAATTCGATGGTGTGGTATACACAGGGGGTGTTCCAGAGAGTGACCCCCTTCATCTTCCCTGTGGCACTCATGGCACAGACGGGTTCTGTGTACCTGACAGTGACAGTTACTGTGGAGCGCTACATAGCCGTGTGCCGACCATTACGAGCACGATCCCTCTGTACTTACGGAAGGGCCAAAATCTACGTCATTAGTGTGGCCCTCTTCTCCGTCCTCTACAACATTCCTAGGTTTTGGGAAGTTTCGTATAAGGTTGGTCATCTACTATTACTACTACATGTTCTCAAATAGCTTAAGATCTGCATTTATGGATATTTAAACACTTGTTAGTTAAGTCTCATAGTTTGCCTTCTCCATAATTACTATTTACGAAGGTCTAACACAGTTGCACTTGATGAAAAAAAGCTTTAAACACTAAAGAAGTAATATATCTACCTTCTATGTCTAGTATGAAAAAATGCATCGCATACCCTCGACAAATTACAAACAAAACTATGCACATGTGATTTCATTATAATTAACCATTAATCCCCATCCCCCACACTGACCACTAACCACCCTAGTTAACCAATACCTCAGCATCCATTCCAGCCAACTAGGCAATCCAAAGCTATCCATCACCTTAACAGCCATGCCTATAAGGTTGGCAAATAGTAAACCTGATGGATGCCTACTACTATCAGGTGGCCCCTCCACACCTAGCTAATTGTAACCTGTGTTGGTCACAGGAGTGTAACGTCAAGGAGGCAGAGTTTGTGATCGTGTTGCCGACTGCACTGCGCACACATCCGTACTACATAGAGATCTACATCATGTGGATGTACCTGATTGTCATGTACCTCGTCCCCTTCCTCAGCCTCATGATCTTCAACTTCTTCATCTACAGAGAGGTGGGTGGACACAAGCCTGAACATTTGTCAACACACTAGCACATTTTCTTGTTTTAGTTGCGAGTACAATACATTCTCAGGTTTCCTTTTACTATTTACTAAGAAAACCATTATTATTTTATTACATAATACCCAGTAAAAGAATGATTTCAGAAGAAAAATGACATAACCATGGAATGTTTGTGTAGTTACGATTTTTATAATAGACTTGGAGGGGGGTTACCCAACAGTGCCAAGTAAGTAATTATCAAAAGGAGGCACCAAACCGGGAAAGCTATGTAGCACCATCAAACGTGCAGGATAATCAGAGGGCGCTAAATATCGCCAAGGATGCCAATACGAGAACAGAAACGCATAAGGCGAACGAAATCAAAAGTATCTGAGTCACCAAGAATACTATTGAGGGACAAGTGACCGTGGGGGACGGTCGGAAAACAAGACACACACTCGTCACGAAAGTCAGGCCATTCAACAAGGATATGCACGACCGTAAGAGGGACAATGCAATTTGGACAATAAGGAGCAGGGCGGCGCTCCATCAAGTGACCATGAGTTAAGCGAGTATGGCCAATACGCAACCTTGCCTCAGCCGTTTCCCATCGCCGATTACGGTGGGAGGAGGATGGCCACGAGGACACACAACTCTTAAGAGTATGCAGTTTGTTTCCAGTAACAGAAGACCAACAAGCCTGTCAACGGGTAAGGATGGAGGAATGGATAACCGGGTAAAAATCGAAATAAGGAATACCTTTAATATCCTCATGTCAGTCCTTAAGGTCTCATATCTCCAGTCACAACATGGTGCAGGAGAACTGTGCCAATGCTGGCATTTAACGGGTGTTTTTTGACACCCGAACTGTGGTCTTACCAGTGCAGGACAAAAGTAGCTAGGGAAAGTGCCTGCCTCCTGAGAAAGGGCCGCAAATGACGTGTGCCAGTCAGGGCGAGGTTGAAAGTATCATGGGAATCTACACAGCCACTAGGTGCTTATGGATATGTAACTCATCAGGGCATGTATGTTCAGAACAATTATTTTCTAGTACTGTATAATTATTTTCTAATGACAAAACAAAAATGAAGACAAACTCTGATTTGATACTGCTGTATATAAACAAGCAGGAGGTATAGAAATTGATGGCAATTGTCTTTGATGCAGATGTTTTGCTTAGATTTGCATTTTACACAACATTAAATTCTCTTTGCAATCCTCAGGTTCGGGCAGCCAACCACGAACGCCAACAGCTGAGTCGACTTCAGAAGAAGGAGATCGGCCTGGCAGTGATGTTGCTAGTTGTCGTCACAGTCTTCTTCGTCTGTAATGTCCTTGCCTTCATCATCAACATTCTGGAGCTTCTGGGCATCACCATTGAATTGCTAACAAATGCCAGTAACCTCCTTATCACTATAAATTCATCGGTCAACTTCATCATATACTGTATCTTTGGACAAAAGTTCCGGAAATTGTTCCTGAAGATGTTCTGCTCTGGTGTTCTATCTGGTGCAGCAGCAAGGGATGTGGCATTAGACTCGGCAGCCTTTGGCAACAATAGTCTCTATGGAGAATCTCGAACCTTGACAAATGGTAAAATGACTCAAACTATTCGACTGTCGTCATGGAATGGGTCACACCAGTCTGGTAGAGCAATGCACCCTCACATCCATGACCACCATGGGCACTCTTGCAGAGGCACATTTTGGCGAACCCCTCGCTACTCCAGCGTTCCCTTGGGCGACGCTTCCACTCCAAGAACAAATTCAACTTCCACTCAAAGGACGAACTCCTCCTTCATCTCCACAAGGACAGCTTCCGTGAACCGGCAAGTACCTCCAGAGAATGTCCACATCCTCTGAACAAAACACACTCTTTCCCTTCATGAAGAAATCTGCAGTTCAGCATGTTCAGCTCAGCATGACATCACAAAATTTACATATCAGTTATGGTGGAAAGCACATCACACTGCATATTCTCACTAGGGACTTGGACACTCGGCAAACAAGATGCATTTTCTTAGTTTTTTTTCACTTGCAAGTTTCATCTTACCCATACATTTCCCATTTTCCTATGGGAATCCCACTGACTAGTAGCTTTATATCTCTGTGGTGCTCGATAAACAACCCCCAATGATTAGTTGAGCTGATGTGGGTGATGCTCTCTGTCAGGGAAGGTTGTTAGTTAATACAGTATGTGTGTGTATATGTATGTATGTATGTATGTATGTATGTATGTATATATATATATATATATATATATATATATATATATATATATATATATATATATATATATATATATATATATATTCATTCATTCATTCTTTCCGTGTGTTAGGCGCAACAAGACATTTCAAATTTTACTATTATTAAATTTGTTGCCTCACTCGGGATCCTCTTTTTACATATATAGCATAATATGTAAATATACAAGTTGTCAGTACATGGTGCCAGTAGACACTTTTTGAACATACAATAGTAAGAGAAGCCAAATAAGTGGCACGACTCAAAGCAAAATAAGAAATCTGAACCTCAAGGTGATAACTTGTAATGATATGTGTAGCAGTCGTGCAAAGCTGATAATGAAATGTGACATGGTAAAAAGACCATCGGAGAGTGAGACAACATCCCAGCATAGACCAATCTACCAGGCCTTGGAAAAAAAACTGTCAACTGCTATGGTGCTTCACAAAAAAATCCTGATTTATAAGGTTAACTGCCATATTCTCAAGACTATTTTAAATTAGTTAAAAGTACTACAGTACAGGTGATTCAATGAAGTGCTTGATGTATTTGGTAATTAATGTTCTATACCCTTGGAGAACTGACCCTTGTCACAGTATTTGTATAATGTGCAAGAAGTTGAACACAATCAAATATTTAACCGTGGCTCGGAGGCTCATTTTACACAAACGTGTGTTATTGTAGTTTTGTTCTGGGCTCAAATACCAGGGCAAGGTGAATGTGCCTATAGCATGCATATAGATAAGTTAACTAAAAAGAGCCCCAGCAAGCTCACAGGTGCAAAGTGTTGCTTGTTAGGTGTGAAACGAACGTATGAATCATTCCAAGTGATTCTCGAGATATTTACAGAAATTTATTATATATATAAAATAAATTACAAGAGAATTTTGTAAGATGTTACACCCATTATATAAAATCAGAAAGGTCTAAATATTCTTGCTGTGTAAGGTAATCAAGGTACCAGCGCACGACCAGCCATGCTTATGTTCGAGAGAAGACTCGAATTGTATGAAAAGTATGAGAGTCCTTGAGACACATTCAAGCTATAGAGAAATGTATTATCCCTGTTATTTTCGTGTCGCCGACTCTACTGGTGACGCATGCATATTGTTAATATAAGAATTGTGTGATAAGTATTTTTACAGAATATGCATATACATTAAAGTATAACATATACAAAGTATGTGTTAGCTCCATTCCTTATCTCATTACTGTATGTATTATATTTTTTACCTTTGATTGCTGGTATGGTGATATCAGAAAAATTATAAGAAATATGTACATTAATAAATAGAGAATATTAGAAAAGTCTAGTCAAAATAAAAAGAAAAATGTATCGAAGACAATAAGTACGTATAATTGGAGTAAATTGATAGAAATACTGAATTATTTATAATGCTCAGTGAAATTCTTTGTAAAATTATGCAGAGATTTGTAAAATTCCTTCTTATTTAGGTTGCAAGTAGTATGTGAGACAGCTAAACAATGGATTAAATCCAATATTATGAAAATTTTGTATTACCTAGCATGAGTGAGTTGCTAAATACTGTGTGATAGCCAATATCCTTGCCTGTGCTCGAATTAAGGTTATTGACAATCATGTGACGGTCATATATATATACAGAATATATATGTGTGTATGTATGTAAAGCCACACTGGTCTTGTGGATCTTGTTTAGCTCTGTGAAGTGTAAATATGAATGAAATATGGAATTGCAATATTGGTGGGGTGAGTAGTGTAAGGTCTCCATGTACATGTGATATAAAGTGTTTACTGTTGTTGGAGAGTGACCCATGTTGATGATAGGTTGGTAGTTTTTGCACACCCATACAAGCATTAACACAAACCCCCACCCCCCCTCATCCCCCCCACACACACACACACCATTATTAGTGATCATAGACAAGGTCTGTCCTTTGACATAGATCACCTTCCCATGTGATATATACTTGTATGACTGTCATGAACCTAATATTAACTACAGCTCCAGATGCTTTTGCTCTAGAAGGTACACTTGCCCTCTAAAAGTATACACGGTCTTGGGAGGTTCACCTGGCCCACATGATGTACCTTCACAACATACACCTGACCTCGGGAAATAATGTCCTTGGAAGACACAAAGTTAGGAGGTACAAGTCCTAGGATATGCACCAGTCCTATAAAACAAATGTCACTCCTTGGAAGGTTTAGCTGTCCATGGAAAGTGCACCTGCTGTCAGGACATACACCATATTTTTAACTATTTTTTTTCCAGAATGAATACCTGTTTGGTAGGTGCATCCATCTTTGTGAGGCAAATTTGTCTCAAGGATGCAATTTATCCTTGAGAGACAAACTTGTTGTTAAGTAGGTGCACCTGTAATAGAAAGGTTTATATACTGTATGTTATTAATGGGCACACCTATCCTAGCAACAAATCTGAGCATTAAAAAAAGATTCAAGATATGAAACTGCTACTCCTACAAATTGGTTTGAGTAGAATACAGTATTCCATTTTAATTTGTGTACGTTTTAACTCTTACCATGTAATGCCACTGTTACTTGCTCAGATTTCCCACAAAGCTGGAAATTTAATTTTATGATATATTACCAAATCTCAACATAATTTATCGATGCCTTTACTTACTACTTATGAACTCAATTATGTTAACTCAAATTTTGACACCAATTGATATAAATCAGCCTTAAGTACCAGTGGATACACACTACCCGAGGAACACTTTCTTATGGATAATTATTTTTGCCATTTATGTACTAAAAGAAAGTTATGCATTTTATATTTTCTTAGCAAATCTATATTCATTATTTGTAATCAAAATGTGTCATTAATCTATGTATTTCTATTGCCGTTTATATTGGGACAAGGGAGAGGGGATTCAAGGGAAACTAATACATGTTTTAACATTTCATATTGCAACCCACTGGAAGTAGCATCAACATCCTCACTGCTCTACTCGTAATATGTAAGCCAGTCACATTAACAAACCATGATCACAGGTGCTAGTTAGGAACTTGATTATGTACTGTGCCAGTGGACTGTCCTCGGGTTGTCCTGTATGGGACGCACGGGCTTCAACTCCCTAGCCAGCACTTGCTGATGTTAGGTTTGCATGTCTCTACACCATACTTGTACTATTATAACCTTGATGTTTTCATCTTTCACTTTTACTCTTATTGTGACATTAACATCCTCTTTGTGATTTTGTTATCACTCAGATATTACGGTTTTTGTATGCCAATGCCACGTCTACGATGGCGACACGTTTTATCTCCTATCACTTATGTCATTATCTCGTGTTGTTGTCAATGATGAAATAATCAGTTTGCATTTCTGATACACATTTTCATGCCACTGTCACTACTTAATGTCACTTATCTAACCTACTGTCTTCTAAATGCCAATCATGTTCTCATCATTAACACATTGCCTTCACCATCATCTTGGAGTACACCAAAGATCACTTTGATTAACCCTTGTGTAGAAAAGAAAAAAAAAAAAAAAGCTTGACCTCTGTCTGGGGAACCTAGGTCGCCTGCACACCCACCCACATACTCAGCGCTGTGATGTACTCGCTAAAAGCATAATCATATACATCTTCCAATGACCTAGTCTGCAAGGTATTACCACTCTGGTGCTGTCTGCAACTTCTATAGGAAGAAAATCTAAGAAATTAAAAAAATCAGAGGAATCTGATTTAAAGTACTGAATTGTATTTGTGAATGCAGACATAGGTTGTACTTTAAAATACTGTACATACACACACACAATCACACAATTACTTAAGTGTAGTTACAGGATGAGAGCTATGCTCGTGGTGTCCCGTCTTCCCAGTACAGTACTCTTTGTTGTATAACGCTTTGAAAGTACTGACGGTTTTGGCCTCCACCACCTTCTCAATTAGCTTCTTCCAACAGTCTACCACTCTGTTTGCAAAAGAAAACTTTCTAATGTTTTTACGGCACCCTTGTTTCCTTAGCCTGAATCAGTGTCACTTAGGTAATTACACATACAGTATAAGAATAGGAAGTAGAATAAGAATAGACAGTAATGGAGGTACACTTGAGGCAGAGCCAGTGGGGTAGGATGATGCACCCGGCCCCGGGGAAAAGTGGGGAGACATTCCCCCAGGGCCGTCTACCAAGCTTCCTCCTACCCCATCCACCATGCCTCATGATTTACACCCTCCAGGCCCCACCCACCACATGTTGACAGCCTCTTCCTTCCCCCTTCTACCATGCCTAATGATGACCACCCTCATCTGTCACGCCCACCAAGCCTTAATGACATCCTGCATCACACCTTCCAATGCACCACACAAAGAGTGCATAAAACTACACCTTCCTAATGCATGATGATGCACAGACCCAGCATGCTGGCAGCTATCAAGAGTTGAGAAGGTGGGACCTTGCTATGGCTAAAACAAACCCTTTGGTCAAGTTTTATTGACTTATCTGCTGAAATCTAGACTACTGCTTTTTTATGTACATAAAACTTAAAAGTATTAGGTAATTAATAAAAATATACTTATACATTATTTAAGGATATTTATATTTGAAGCAGATTTCCACAATTCTTATCATGGGTTTATCCCCAGTAGCATTAGATCCATTTAAAGAATACCTCTTTACAGTACTACAAACTTTATTTTGTGACAAACAGAAATCACTTTTGAATAATTTACCAAGCCTGCATTTTCTACTATAAAGGCAAAAATATAGACCAGGCTTAAAGGTCTGTATTGCTCAACTAGTCAATCTTTCAATCACTTGCCAAAATGTAGGCCTCTATTGACAGTAAACAGGCTATGGTGTGATTGTCAGTCCCATATACCAGCAAGTGTCCCACCTCGGAATCAAAAACTAAAATAGAAATCAAACGGACAGAAGGTCGAAGCTTTTTATACCTGAACATGCTTAGTTCCCAAAACCCACCTCTCTTGGCACCCTCTCTGTGTACTGGGTGTGGTGCAGTGGAAAACATCCATGCTGGGTAACCTACTGGGTGCTGTGCAAAGCTTTGGATGTACATCACCATCCCAAACACATGACTAACTGTACTTATATACTTAGTCTTTTCGCTCACTGTACAATTGTTTTCAATAGAAGATGGAAAAAAAGTGTATTATTTCCATACCATGAAAAGAAATTAAAAGTTTTAAGAACACAACCTGTTTATTGTGCATTTCACATTCCTTGTGTAATTGACTGAGCTACCACTTAAATAATTTACAACTATAGTACTGGGATAGGCCCAGCTAGAATGAGGACTGTCTGCAGCCACTCTCCATCGACTTGTGTACAATGTGTGCACTTTTATTATTAGAAAGCATATCTCTATACCCTCAATGCCAATGCTCATTCATCAGGAAATAAACAAACTTCCAAATGCTTGAATATTGCAATAAAGCATTCAATTTGGTCATTTTTATATATGTAATGTATAAATATGATGAAGACAGGCAGAAGAGAGTCCTGGAAGGAGCAGCAGAGGCACCTCCACACTGCCTTTCCTTCTCTTATGTAAACTTTGAGACATCAACACTTGTAAGTAATAACACTAACAGTATTTTTTTCAGGGAATGTTATCAAATGTATCCTTTATTTTGTGATCCGTGTTAAAATCCCATTGACGCAAACATGATGAAGTGAAACTACAGTATGTTTCTGCGACACCTACGAAACGTGTTTTTTGTAATATATGTACTGTACTTAATATTATCTAATGATTACTTTAAAATAATCATATTGTACCTTGACACCTTTGTCACTTGCCATACTCTGATGGCCAATATTAATTCAGCTTCCTCCACATTTCCCAGAACATTTCAAATACTCCTAGAATATCACAAACCCATTTATCTGACAAAATTTACATGACTGTCCATGCCCAGCTTTCTGAATACCCTACAATACCATATCTTCAACACACACCTACAACCAGCCCACCCAATTCAAGCCACATATAAGTCCAATCTGTTATGTTGGCCATGCCCAGTGCCCAGAGATACAGAATTCAGTGATTTTGAATCAGACCTCCTGCCCGCACTACTTCTCTAAACTTCTCCACCTTTGTTATGTCTGCCACTATAAGTAGCTTCAGTTTATCATTATGTTACTTGCACTTTATATACATCAATTTTACTTTTATTTTATTTCAACTTTTTCTCAAGCCATAAACAATAAATATTCACCATTGTATGTTTGGCTTAAAGATACTGTTCTAAACACAGCAAAAGTCAATGCTCAAATTACACATTTTAGAATCCCCCAATAATTTCAATTGTAGCTTAGTAATACAACATTTAATTTGCTACAATAATTCCTTCAATCTGCTAAATTTTCAAACAAACCCTCATCCGACTGCTGGCTACTCATTTATTTCTTGACAAGTGAATGGTATACAATCTATTGTATAAAGTAACCTGTATCCTTTCTTGATTTTAGACGAAGTCCCGAGATCATATTTCGGAACTTTTTATCCATCTTCGATAGTACGAACCAACTCATTGATCATACAACACATCTTTGTGCTCTGCTTCTGTATCTTAGATTTCACATGGCTTACCCAGTGACAACCTTAATTGCCCTATGAATACTTTTGACCCATTTTTCTCCATTTACTTGGCAATTTGACGGTAAACTAAAAAGTTATTTAAATCCCTTGCTACAATTCCTTACAATAACAGATGTGATTTCATTATTATTGTCACCGTTCTTAATGCAGTCATCACTTCAATCCCTCATTCTTCACAATTTTTAAAGTTACACTGAAGAAACACATTCAAGAAAAAAGTTGACATTTATTGCCTTAAAAATATACTAGTGTGTTATGTTTTCAACACCAAATGAAGTTTTGAGCTAACCGTTGGGCATTCATATACTCCAATACCTTGTATGCAAAATTAAACAAATTCCACCCTTCAAATTCCCCCTGGTACTAGGTTCCATCCCCTTCTGTCCTGTCATCCATGTCATGAAGTTATCTAACTTCTCTTTTTGAGAAAGGATAAATGAGGTGAAGTTTTGGTTTGTCCACGTGTTTGTTGATGACTAAGCCTTAGCACAAATGGGTACATAACCATTTGTCTAATATCGAAGCCTTGCCCCTGACCAACTAAAAGCTTGCAATCCCATGGCCAGACATCATGTGCATGCTGCATTCTGATCGTCTAATTCAAGAAATTAGAAAATATCCAATGAGCTGCAGAGTTGAAATGGAACAAGCGTACTATTTTTAGTACAGTATCCTCTGACTTTTCAGCCAAACTAACACACAACAGTTGGCAGGCTCTGTACACAATTCAATATGCTAAACTAAATACTCCTTGGCTTAAGCACAATATTTTTTACTCAAATACTTACCTAAAGAACTAGGTAAGGTCAAAGAGCCAATCAAAAATTTATTCTTGAAACTTGATATTTCTGGCCGACGTCCACATACTGGGTCCACATACATGTGTCCCGGTGAAGGTACAGTCACACGATTAACGCCCATCAATCTGTAGGTCCTGGAAGCACGTACAGTACAAGCATGCAGGAAGACAGGTGTCATATGCTGGTACACATCCTTGCAAGTTATTATCTTAACAGTTAATGACTATCTTGCATGTAAGCAAATAGAATAACAATAGAAAGTGGTTCATTTATGGTTTCTAATTTTTGGTTTATTAATATAAGCTCTCTGTCATAATGGATATCAGTCATAATAGGATGGGAAGGACAATAAAGATTCCTGGGTCATGAGAGTACAGAGTCAACCACAATATATATAATATATATATATATATATATATATATATATATATATATATATATATATATATATATATATATATATGTCGTACCTAGTAGCCAGAACGCACTTCTCAGCCTACTATGCAAGGCCCGATTTGCCTAATAAGCCAAGTTTTCCTGAATTAATATATTTTCTCATTTTTTTCTTATGAAATGACAAAGCTACCCATTTCATTATGTATGAGGTCAATTTTTTTTTATTGGAGTTAAAATTAACGTAGATATATGACCGAACCTAACCAACCCTACCTAACCTATCTTTATAGGTTAGGTTAGGTAGCCGAAAATGTTAGGTTAGGTTAGGTAGTCGAAAAAGCATTAGTTCTTGAAAACATGGCTTATTAGGCAAATCGGGCCTTGCATAGTAGGCCGAGAAGTGCGTTCTGGCTACTAGGTACGACATTATATATATATATATATATATATATATATATATATATATATATATATATATATATATATATATATATATAAAATACTATGTTGGCATACAAAAAACTAATGGAGAGCATACAGTTGTATAAGGCTCCAAATACAGTATAAAAATGCTCATCTCTGGGAAAAGGCAGCACATACAGTACAGGTTTGATAGGAAAAACATCGTAGTAGCCAACACTATCAGCAGACTTAGTCATTCACAAATAAAGGAGTAGCACGTGAGTGGCAGTAAAAATGTTTGAGGGAAAACATTTTAGCTTAAAAACACAAATGAAGAATTAGAATAAAATAGACCTCAAAACTTAAACCATTTAAGAATGAAGAAAAATTAATATTATCCAGAAAAGCACACTTACCTATGATTGCAAATGTCCTTGCAGATAAGGAGGCTTAGTTCATGAGCCTCACCACTCCACTTCTGATTATCTGGTTCATAGTCTGGTATTCGTTTATCCTGCAGCTCCTTTCTATACAGTATAGCACATGAGGACAACATTACACTGTTTACACATGCACAAATCACATTAAAGTGACATATCAAAGAACAAATCCACAGGTGCCATGACGAGGGGTTCAAGACTATGTGCCGAGTGTAAATTTGCACAATTTAATTATCTGCCTTAGGTCACTGGTGTACGTAACCAGGATCATGCTACATCATCCTTCTTGAATGATTTATTTGGAGGGAACTATTAGATGGCTTATGATAATTGTCCGTTTGAGTTTTGTTATGAGTTATTGTTAATTATAATTATCTTCTAGCACTACAATCTTTACCTGATGTTATATCAAACTAAAATACTTAATGTCTAATTTGGCTCTCCAACAGAAATCATTAACAAAATATTGTCACTATCAGTTCTATACAACATCTTAATTCAATGTGTTAAGAAGTTAAATATTGCCCAAAGGTGCACCTCCAACTCATCACAAATAAGTCAAGTAGTGGTTTGTAGTTCCACGTATTTGTAGATGAATGACAATTCTCATTTGCGACGTTAGGATAACTCGCCTAAATCTATTGCAACCGAGGCAGACATCCCTTTTAATTAAATCAGTAATTAATATAGTAACCTCTCGAGTTATCTGCACTTAAAATATATTATTAATATTATATATTAACTGCATTTATTTGGTAGCTTCTTGCAGATTACAGATGCAGCCGTCATCTCGTCTAGCCCAGGTCACACGAGACACCACATCAAGATGATTTATAACTTATTAAATATTGGCTCTATGACACCTGGACAACTATATATTATACAGTATCTTGACACTGTGAGGAGGAATGAGTTTACAGCCAAGTCACTAAACTGTTCTTCCTTAGTCTCATACTGTAGTTTGTTAAGTCTGATGATCTCACAGTTAGTAGGTTCTCTGACACTGGCAAGTAGCAGAATGGAACACTTTTGCGAGAGGACAGTATAGAACACTATGCTAACGAGAGCGAGTTTTTGTTGCCCTGTAGACTGATGCCACTTTCTTGCCTGTACTTTTGGGGTATGTCCTATTCTATTAACTGGCAAGTTCAAATAATTTAGAAAAAATATAAATAAAATCAATTACAAAACAAAATAGTATACACACAATTATTCAAGATGTCCAAAACAATCTTAGTATGCTGTACTCATCTGAAGTATCTTGTCTTATACTCCACATCTCCCAAAGACATGTCCATATACACAGTAAACCTATTGTACAATTACTTTTAGTCCAAATTAAGTACTTTGTGGATCCTTAAGTGATTATTAAATGTTGAAATTAATTTATCAATTTTTTTTTAAATAACCTGTACATATACACAGCACAGTACAGCAAATTTAACATTAAAGTATAAAAACAAACCAACTAAAACATATAAATTTATTTTCAGTTGAGAGCAGCTTAAGCACCAAAGGCATCAGTGCAAACATAAACCCTCACTATACACAAGTGTCAAATTTAGTTTAGAAACTTTCACTCCATAGCTACAAATTTGTCAATAAACTTTATGAGAGAATGAGAGCAAAATATTTTGAAAATAACACAGCTGAAAATTAGACACCCGGCTCACAAATCTTGAAATAAAAGAATTATCGACATTTGTCCATCCTGGACCATTATCAAATTGTCAGTTCAGTTTATATTCAGATTTGTGGGTTGGGTGTCTAAATATTTCAAATTTGAAAATATTTAATAGTTTGTAAATACAATATACATATTATAGTTTCAATCTTTAAGCTGAAGAAAAGCATCACAAACAGGATGGTGGTGTGGCAACAGTGGTGTCTGAATAGGTAAGATACAGTATAACAACATTTAACCCCAAGACCAAGTGCTTGAACCAGAAAGTTATTCAGCAGCGGCAGTAGAGGATGGAGTATTACAGCATTGTGGGGAAGGGGGGGGGGGGGGGAAAAAGAGGACAGTAGTGTTACAGCAGTAGGGGAAGGGTTACAGCAGTGTGGGGGGAGAGGATGGTAAAGTGTTACAGCAGTGGGGGGGGGGGGTTACAGCAGCAGCAGTGGGGGTGGGGTTACAGCACCAGTTGGGGGGAGGGAGTGGGGGTTACAGCACCAGTTGGGGGGAGGGAGTGGGGGTTACAGCACCAGTTGGGGGGAGGGAGTGGGGGTTACAGCAGAGGATACTACATGATATCCATTCACCCCTCATATGCTCTGCATGGTTCTGGAGTACATGTGTCTGCTTAAGACGCCAAGTACATTCGTTGCAGATACATCACGTCTTCTGTGAGTACACCACCGTGCCAAGTATGGTAGTTATGGGAATGCCTGCAATCCTATTATCACACTGCAAATGAGCGCGAGACCAGTTGTCACGCGACTTGCGTGTACAAGAACTGAGGGTCAGCCTTACTCTTAGTACATAACCTCAAGTAGCTGTTTGTCTTTCTGTGCATAGATCTTACGTGTCAGCCATAATTGTTCACCTGCACAACACCTACAACAGGTGTAGGTTGGGATCAAGATAGACCCAACAGAGTAAAGTGTTTGTGTTTTGTACCACACCATGACAACTAAGTGAATGTGTGAGCTTCACAAACAACGCATTTAGTCCACATTTACAGTGCCATCGTTCCATCTATTGTGCACGATTATTGCCAGTTTCCTGATCAAAACGTCTGTGTCCATTTCCAAGCCAGCCATTTTGAAGAAATTAATGTTAGTGATTAGGTATGACATCCCTTGTCTCTATAATGTGATAAGATTTAGACACCAACCTAGAGTAAATCAAGCATCCATAAACCTGCAGATTATTGATAGGCTTTAAGCTGCATTTCTGTTGAACCACTTCTTAACACTTTCGCGCTATCTGGACGCGCCGGCGCGTTCGGTTTCGTCTAACGTAAACGCATAGTGGACATAAAGTTATGTCAACTTTTAAAATATTTGTATAAAATTCAATTTTTATCCGATTTACTTTGGGTTTGTTTCAAACTGCGCGCTATGAGGCTCTCTTTCTTACCACTAGGCTGCATGGTACAATAAGTTCATGAAAGGTGTGGATAACTTCGATCAAATGGTATTTTGTCCCAAACGGGTTGCAGGTGGGTGACTTTAGCCGTTTGTACTGGTAATTCTTCCCCCATATCATGTATTATATGCATATGTCTGTTTAGGGAATTTTATTCCGATCAATATACAACCAAAAATAACTGTGTGCAACAAGTATAATCTTGACAAACATAACAAAAGTAAAAATATTTCGTGTGCGTTTGACGCTCACTGATATGTTCCAGCGTTGTTTTATATTTGTCGCTATTCTAACTTACGCTTTGTTGATATTTTTTACCTATGGGCACATAGAACATTCTATTGCAAACACATTGACATAAAAATGAATGACGTACATAGAAAATTAATGTCATGAGAGTGAAATAAGTATAAACTTTCAAAGCGCCGTGCGTCGTCCCGTCACCGATACCGGGTAACAATTTCACCACTTCCCACACTCTTGCGGGCGGGCTGCATCATTATTCTACGCTTATATTCATATCACCGTGTTGGGAATTTCATTGCGAGTCCATTGATACCAAAATTAACGCTGTAGAGCAAGTGTGGAGGTGATTACAATCCCAAGAGTAAAAACATTTTGTTGCTGATGGGCGCTCACGGCGAGTCATCTACGTAGTTATTTATTTGGTGCTGGTATCCCTATATGTTTCGTGACTTATTTTACTAATGTTCTTCTAGAGAATTTTATTGCGAACACGTTGGTACCAAAATGAAATACGTAGCATGAGAACTAAGGTCAGAAGAGTAAAGAGTATACACATTTTTGTTTTTACGCTTAAGCGATAAAAACGCAGCGCGCACATTCGGTTGGCTGAGTGACCTTTGCGGAGAGCGCGAAAGTGTTAATACTGCCTCTGTTCGTATTTAAGCCTTCAACCTCTATGTCTACAACATCTAACTGCCTAATAAGTCACTAAACCAAGTCACACAAGGAACTAAAGTAGAGTCCCTTAAAGTGCTTCACTTTTCATTGGAAATTTCTACAACATGGATCAGGACCTGGTGGAGCAAATTTGAGGGACCATTCCACAGGACTTTTATTCAACGGTGCACTTAAGCACCAAATGCTTGCTCTCGTGTCTGCAGGATTTTGACAGCTTTGTGGAGTATCCATATGCACATTGGCGATGCTGGATGCAATTACAGTCAGGAAAAAGCATTATTTCCACTGTTAGGTGGAGGATGATGGTGTTTTACAGTATTGAGGGGAGGATTGTGGAGTAGTGAGTGGGTTAGGATGCATCATTTGAATTTTGAATATAAATAATTATGCTCAACATTTCACCTAAAATCATTGATTCACTAATTTCAAGCAACATTTTAGCAATCGGGGAAGAATTGTGGTCTCATGAGCATTGCTGTATATGAGAAGTTACATCTCCCTACCAGTGAATATGCCAACTGGTCCTGAAATTGTTTGTGTTGTGTTTGAAGAGTAGGAGAATATGGCTTGACACCTTTGGCAAAAGCAATTAATATGTTGAATCATTTATGGAATTCAGGTACATTATAATATACATCCTTAATATACTTAAGAAGGACAGAAAAGAAACAGAAGAATTTCTAACACACAATATTACATATTATAATACACTTCAACCTCGATAGAACAAATTGTGGAAGAACAGGCCTCCAGAGTGAAAAGAATTGTCTACCAATACAAACCTTGATGCAATAGATTATGACAGTCTGCTAGACCAAGGCGTCTCAATACACTGTAGCAACTTTAAGTTGACACTGTCAATTGTTTTATTCATGTAAATTACCTAACATTCACATACTGTTAGTAATAACTTACTAAAAGCCAACCTAAGCTTCTAATGAAAATTTGATACTATTTGAACATTAACTATAAACTGCATAAAGCATTGTGTACATGACATTTCTATGGGCACCTTAGTCCTACTGTAACTGAACACATCCCTTACAAATTTAATTACAAATGCGTCCATGCTAAGTCAAACACTGAATCAAGGCTTGCCTGGTAGAAAAATCTTTCCATCAAATTCTTGGATTAGGTCAAATCGAGGCTCCGCTGTATGCATGTATGGGGTCCATGTGTGCATATAATGTGCCAGGATAATCAAGAACGAAACTGATACAAGAAATATTTGATCGCTTCCGTGTCCATTTCAGCAACCTCAGATATGTTGAAATGAGACACAGAAGTGCTCAAAGTCATCGTCCAGTTTCCTTTTGTGGGTTTTATCACACTATTCATCAGTGTTAATTTCCCTCATGATTTACACACATTCATACATACATATATTGAAATCAACGATAACTCTAAATAAAATTTATTCAGCATTTCCATGTTAACTTACATCATCAGGAGTTATTAAAACTTGAAGTTACCTATAATAAAGTTGGATAATCATAGTTTACTATCTCGATAAAAAATAATATGTAATGTTTAAGATATCTTATACACAATGGAGTTAGGTTATTCTGTTCCATGTTTTATACCTAGAACACTACCTGCCTATTGTTTTACATCCAGCTTCTTAGTTACTGGTGGGTGAATAGATGTTGATTTGCATGTTATCATTTCCATTTAAATAAATTTATCAACAGGCTAACAATTCTGATTAGCTTTCCACTTTAACTATGTTCCCCTTTTATTTTATTAGCTATTTGGGAACAATATAAAATTGTTGAATATTTGGAAACAATTCATTTGAAACTTCTTATTACTGTACATTCTTTTTTTCTAACAATTTTAGCATATTTTCCAATACATTTTTAGTTTTTATCTTGAATTCTAATTTACATTTATTTTATTAATAGAAATGTAGCCCTACACTTGGTATATTTCTGTTGATAGAGGTTCTACAATTCATGTAAAGATGTTTTACTCTCTTATAATCCCAACTCAATAATGTGTAAGGTATCTTTAAACTAACTTTCTATATTATAAAATTGGAGTTTTAATGTGAAATAATTGATTATACATACATATGTACATACAAGTGTGTACATATACAGCCCATCCTCCTGTTTTGGTAGTACTTATAGTAACGATGAGGACGTACCGACATATACCTATACATATACCGACGTACAACGAAATTAGAATGTAGAAATTGGCACTATTGAGATGGACAAACCGGAAAACTATTTTCAACTGTTGCAAAGAAAAAACTAAACTAACCTAATCTTCCTAGGCCTTATACGCGATATCTGAGGCCTAAAATAGTACGTGTGCACACTATACTAGGCCTAGGAATATTTAAGTTTGTTTTTTCACTTAACTTTTTCAGACTATATAAAGTGAATAGTACAAAGCTCTACTATCTAATTGCTTAGAACGGCAATCTTTAAACAATTGTGTACATAGTTACAAAAACTACTATCTAAACAGAAGAATGGGTCGACATGTACGAGTATGTGTATCATATGTATGTCCATGTATGCATACGTAACCATGTAAGAAAAATGAAATGGAAATAATCTGAGTGTTTTCATGATTCAACACATTTTCAAGGAATACAGATCACAACAGAACTCAAGATTATCTTCATTTCATTGTTCCTATGTGGATACTTATGTATACTGTATCCGAATCAAGTTTTTGTGCTAATTCTTGCAATATATGCATGCATGCATATTACACACACACACATACACAATTCTAAATGATAAAATAATATTAATAATACTAAAGCAATAGTTAATATTACTGGCAACTTGAAACTGTATAAGAGAAAACAAGAGTAATGAAAATGACTGAAAGGAAAGATAATATATTTCCTGGGTAATAACATTTTTAATCCTCACGAGGTGTGTATTACCATATTTACAAGCAAAGTGATTTAGGAAATGATAGAAAAAAAATCAGACCAACTGAACATGTTTCGTATCTTTGCCCTATATAATGAGATAATTATAGACTTAAAACTATTAAATGAATGTTACACAATCAATAAAAATTTAAACTTAAAAAATAATAATTTTCTTTTGTACAGATATAAAAAAAAAAAAAAAAATTAGACATCAGAATGGAAAGTAGTTATAAAAGATTACAAGTTTTCAATTATTTTAGCATCCAGAGAAACCCAAGTTTCCCCAAATATTTTCTCTACATTCAATTACATACTCAATTTCAAATAAATGAATCTGAACAAAGTGGTTCCTTAGTCTTACAACACACAAAAAACCCTCATTGAACACTGTTCAAAAACTGCTGAAACAATCTTAAAAATTGACCTGAAGGGATGACATTCATATTGGTGCAGCTCAACTACAGTCCCCATTGTTTATGTGGTTCAGCCCCAATTTCTCAGAAAATATTTCCCCCCAAAGCTTCAGTAACACTAAAAAAGGCACTTAATTACAATATACAAAGGCATCTTTTAAGAAAAAAAAAATCACTATTATGGTGCCAATTTACTCAATAGGCATTAAAAGAACATTTGTAAAACCACGGCAGTCACACAAGTTTTGGAATTCCCTGATAAGCTTGTCACGTACAGAGGGCACAAACGGCAGTGTCATACTTGGTACTGAAGCATACTTACAACACTTGGGCCCTACTCAGTCTTTTTGATCTCCGACTGGGTGTTGCAAACTTGGACGCTACAAAATAAAATAAAAATAAAGTTAGAAGATTTTATAAAAAATTACTGAATATTAATATGGCTTGAATGCATCGGCAGCACTGGATAAAAGTGCTCTACACTTACAAATTATAAAGACATGCAGAGAATAACTCAACAATGTGGTTGAAGCAAATAGCCTAACCCCCACAGGTGAAGTGAAAAGAAATTAATGACATTTCAGTCTGTCCTGGACCCCTATCAACATCATGGCTATGTCACAGCTTAATAAGATCTAAGACAGAAGGAAATTGTGGATGCATTCCTACAAAGAGGAGAGTTAGATGAATCGACACTACAGGGTTATTATACAGTACTAGTCCCTACAGATGTGAGCCTGACAAATTATCATCTACCCCTACAAATATAAAGTTCACCGTGTCACTATACCAATAGAGGAACAAAATATTTTTCCCGTGATTTTCATTAACATGCAAAACTGAATACCATTCGTATTTAAATATATTGTTGGCGCAGCCGATTTGTAGTTCTAGGGGATTTTTTCGTGACTCCTCTACCAAATGTAGAGGATGCTTGATATGTATATATGTGAGATTTTTTAAAGGTAAAGGTGGTCAATTAACTTTAGCCACTGACATTATTAATTATGAAGTAAAGGAACAGCAGTTAAGGAACAGTAATCTATAAGAAAATTAAATGAGGTACCCCTCCTACTTTCTCTCCCAATCTTCCCTTCCCTCTCACTTTCGCCCCTCTAATTGGCAGAAATATTAAGCAATGCTTGATACACAGCAGCCAATGGGTATTTTTTCTTCTTTCAACTGAACTGGCCCCCAAGCCTAGCTCAATCAAATGATCCTATGTTCATTAAGTCAATTGTGAGGGGGGAGAAGGGGTTAAGTTTGTGGAGAAACTAAGCTAAGGATTAAAGTGGAAGGTGACCCTTAGACACCATAAGGTTTGTTTGTTTGTTTCAATATCCAAATTATATAATGTTGACCTCTGAGTTATCTTTTACTTTGATTAGGAAATGTCCTTTAAGATACGTTAAAGTTTGCATTGAATAACTCTTCAAGGGATACATTAACCTATCAATAAGAACTATCTTCCCTTGCTATCCTATTCAATAATTGTATCCATAATAAGACATCAAGCTCATGACAATTAACACACTAGCAGAATGCAGCCTCACCGTAAACATTCCGGACTCCCCAGGCTGCTCACCGGCCAATCAGTGATGTAATTTTTTTTTTTTACATCATTTTATGTTTTCCAAAAGAGGAGTAATGAAAGGGAGAGTAATGAAAGAACAATTCATACCTATTGATCTTCTGGATATTCTTTCCTTGGTTTCAACTGGAGTGTCCCAGCTGATCAAGTCACAATTGACAGGCAATGTCTGCTCTACTAGAGGGCTTCTTGTCATGCCTGGTAGCAAACTCACGCGTGATGATTTCCTTCGGGTTGCTGAGAATTTAGAACAAACATCAGTGTCCACACTACTCACAAAAATTAAGTTTCATTTAGTCACTGGACTCGAGTCAAGAAACATATTTTTCAAGACCTAAAGCTTTAAATTATGAGCTGCAAATAAATAGATTGAATGTCAAAGTCCTTAAGGACTGGGTAAAATTATTACACACTTTGGGATTTAACACACTCTTATACATATGTCAATCATTATTTTGGTGGTAGGAAGGAAGGAACATCTGGACGAGAGGCAGAAAGGATTAGTGGAGAATGAGGGGAAAAAGGGGTGGCGAGGAGGGAGAGGGGGGGTAAAGAGGTGACGAGGAGGAAGGGAAAGTAGAAGAATGGAAAATTAAGTGGAAGGTAGAGGAAGAAGTGGTAAAGAGGTGGGAGGAAGAGGTGGTAGGCAGCAATTAAGATTTTGTAGTAAACTAATTTTCTTTATACACTATATACGCAAAGTATTCACAAAACATTTTAGAGTTATCAAATGTTAGTAAGAAACCGTCTGATAGCAATATTATTTCCAAGTCCTCAAATCTACTTCACTCCAAGTACCCAAAGAATGCCAAGACATTTTGAGACCCCTTTGCCAATTTCCTTACTGGACCAGTGTTACTCACCAGTCGTTTTCTTCTCACTCTTAGGAGACTCCACGAGACACTGATCTTCATGTCGTGAAGGAATAATGTCATCTGTACTCATGTCAACATTACCAAAGAGACCCACTGAAAAAAACGTTCAATAATTATTGAAGATAATTCCAAGAATAATTAATAATAATCAATACTAGACGTATGAAATTTTGTGAACTATAAATATTGTTAAAAAGACCATTATTTAGAAAATGGACAACAGCATTTAATAGATGTTTCTAAAAGCATTTACCAAAGATCTATTGAGCAAGATACATTGCACAAGTATTTGAAGATTAAAAAACATTGATTTGCGATACAGGTGGCTCAACTTTTATAATCTAAATAGGGATTTGAACTATCTTAAGTGAGGTTGTATTAAAACACACACACACACACACTAAAATGTAGAATTAACCCAAAAATATTAGAAAACAGGACATACCTAACAAAACTTGTACCCTTCGACTTACTTGATGCTCGAGATGAAGATCGAATCGGAGTACCTGGAAATCTGAAGCTAGGCACTTCATTTTCCTGGTCTACAGCAAACATAACTGATCTCCGAGACTTCCTCTTCCCTGTTAAGACCTTTCCAACGGTAGAGGAATTTGATGGCAAACTTTGATCAGGAACCTTTTCTGCACCTGTAAATTAAATTTGAAAGAGTTATTTAACCATTAAATAACTTAAACTTGTGTTTACAGTCATTACACAACAGCTGAGGTCATATTACCCACTATAATAATTGATGAGAATTGGGTTCTGCAACTCCCTATAATTGTCAAGAATTTACTGCTCAATCTTAGAAGAGCCAGACTCACTTCTTGCAGGTTGACGTTCAATTCACAACCATCAAAGTGATTGGACACTATTGCTTTCCTTTGTCCTACCCAAAATCCTTATCCTCATATCCCTTCCAAATGCTACAAAGCCATAATGGCTTAGTGCTTTTTCATGATAATTAGTTTATCTTACCAACATTTTACATGTATTTAGGCTATTACACAATATTATACAACTAATACAGAGTTATTAATTGGAGAAACTTTGGAGTATGTGGCACTATCATGCTCAAAAACATTTATTCAAAATAATATTTATAATAAAATTCAGTCACACTCCAGGATTAATTAAATTTAACCATGAAATGTTAATTATGCCAAGGTTTCGTATTACTGAAATTATGTAAAACTTCCCTGTATGATAATTTTTTTTTTTTTTGTACCTGCTATAAATACCGATACCGATCTGTTATAAATACCGAATATTTATAATGTACCTGCTATAAAACCAAGGACAGAACTGTACTTGGTTACTGTACTCCCAAATTATATTAAGGTTTCCCAGAACGACTGAAGCCACTCAAGCAGTTTACAGTACTGTATAATATAAATTATATTATACAGTACATAATACAGTATATAATTTAAATAATATACATTACCATTATATTTATTCAACAGCACAAATCATTAATTTATACTGCTGAATATATATGTTTACACATGCATGATATAACTACTGGGCCACCACACCGCCGGGTAGTTATGGGGAAGTGACCGAGGTGGTAATGAATTGTACAGTATGTAGGCAAGGATATAGGATATACAAACACCACATCACATGGCTATTAAAAGGGGCAGCAGGGATTCTATACATCATGCTAACTGGCCTATAACTGTAACCACGTCATAGTCTAGCATATAACGGCAACATATAACACAACTCGCCATGTAATGGCAACCATGGCACCAAAAATCAAAGAGAGACAGACAGGAGGCCTATAATATAATTAATAACTTGCTTACATTGCAAAGACTACACATCAAAACTATAAAACATACCACTTTTCCTAGATTTTGGAGAATCAGTAGAGCTAGCAACTTCCACCGGGATGGACATAATAGATGATAAGGGTGTTTGATCGGTCGACTGATCAATAGCAGGGGTCAAGCTATGCATCGTTGCACAAGATGATCCAGGAGTAGTTTGAGAATGGTGTTCCATATTCACTTCAGATGTTACCAAAACGTCTGAATTTTTAGTTACTGGAGTAGCCTCACCCCACACATTAATAGCTGTACCAAAAAAAAAAAAAAAAAAAAAAAAATTAGAATGAATTAAATGCAGGTGTATATCTGTAAGGCAATCTTAAAAATCCTGACTGATTTGTCTGATTTAACTCTGCAAAAACACACATTGTAACCACAACATAGTACTGGTACACCATAGAAGTTATGTTGTGGCTACGGTGTGTTTGTTGGGATACTGGTATTGCACAACAATATGTGAACTATGCTAATTTGTTACTTTTTGTGAGACAGATTCTCGTTACTTATGTTAGGTAATGTTGGGTTAGGATAGGATAGGGCAGCTTAAGTAGGTTAGGTTTGATCAAAGTTTTTGGTTAGTTAAAAAAAAATTGTATGGGCTAGAAAGCTGAATCATTCCATAAGAAAAAAGTATTTGAAAATATATTATTTCAAGATAATTTGGCTTCTTAGACAACTTGACCTATTAGGAACAGCATATTATTATGTATATATTATAACACAACATTGTGCATTTAATAAATAAATAAAAATATATATATATATATATATATATATATATATATATATATATATATATATATATATATATATATATATATATATATATATATATATATATATATATATATATATATATATATATATATATATATATATATATATATATATATATATATATATATATATATATATATATATATATATATATATATATATGCGAACAAGCCTGAATGGTCCCCAGGACAATATGCAACTGAAAACTCACACCCCAGAAGTGACTCGAACCCATACTCCCAGAAGCAACGCAACTGGTATGTACAAGACGCCTTAATCCACTTGACCATCACGACCGGACATAATGAGGTGATAGCCGAGGCTATTTGAACCACCCCACCGCCGGCACTCGGATAGTAATCTTGGGCATAGCATTTTGAATGAGGTGATTTGGTAAAATGCTATGCCCAAGATTACTATCCGAGTGCTGGCGGTGGGGTGGTTCAAATAGCCTCGGCTATCACCTCATTATGTCCGGTCGTGATGGTCAAGTGGATTAAGGCGTCTTGTACATACCAGTTGCGTTGCTTCTGGGAGTATGGGTTCGAGTCACTTCTGGGGTGTGAGTTTTCAGTTATATATATATATATATATGTATGTCGTACCTAGTAGCCAGAACGCACTTCTCAGCCTACTATGCAAGGCCCGATTTGCCTAATAAGCCAAGTTTTCATGAATTAATTGTTTTTCGACTACCTAACCTACCTAACCTAACCAAACCTAACTTTTTCAGCTACCTAACCTAACCTAACCTATAAAGATAGGTTAGGTTAGGTTAGGTTAGGTAGGGTTGGTTAGGTTCGGTCATATATCTACGTTAATTTTAACTCCAATAAAAAAAATTGACCTCATACATAATGAAATTGGTAGCTTTATCATTTCATAAGAAAAAAATTAGAGAAAATATATTAATTCAGGAAAACTTGGCTTATTAGGCAAATCGGGCCTTGCATAGTAGGCCAAAAAGAGCGTTCTGGCTACTAGGTACGACATATATATATATATATATATATATATATATATATATATATATATATATATATATATATATATGTATGTATGTATGTATGTATGTATGTATGTATGTATGTATGTATGTATGTATGAGCCTGTCGATCACCCAGACGGGATCACTGTGAACCTCTGAAAGAATGGTAGACAGTTGGTGTGGGACTACACTTGCATTTCAACTTTAGCCAACACCTATGTTGACTTCAGTGCTGCATGGGCAGGAGGTGCTGCCAATCACCGGGAAGTAGCCAAGTCGCGTAAAACAGAGATCTTGATCACCACTACAATTTTGTCCCCATTGCCTCAGACACACTTGGTGCCTGGGGTAAAAGTGCTGCTAGTTTTTTGAAGGAGCTGGGTTCCAAGCTAATTGAAATTAGAGACCCTAGAGCTGGCAGTTTCCTCTTTCAACGCCTCTGTGTGGCGATCCAGAGGAAATGCTCACTGCATCCATGGTTCCTGCCCACCATCTGAGGAGCTGGAAGAATTCTACAACCTGTGACGACTAGCTTTGTATCCGGCATGTAACCAATGTTGTAACCATTTTTATGTCATAAAATTTTAAATAAAGTGAGTTTTATATATATAGATATACACACATACTAAAAGAATAGGGGTGGTAGAAGAAAATATAGTGTTCAGTGAGGATCCACAAGGTCTTCTCTGAGTACTCTATTTTCTTCTCCGAGGCTATGGGTCCCTACACTTGCACAAGAGGTAGTACCCCTTTTAGGTATTAAAAAAAAAATATGTATGTATATGTATATATAAAATAAAGCACTACATTTCAAACAAAACTTTTTTTTTTTAACATTTATCATTAAAAAAGTGAAAAATTAAAATTGAAAATTAACACTAGGAATGCATTAGATAAACAGATGTACAGTCTACAAGCTTGTAGAGCATATGAACTCCAGTATGTTTACCCCTTCCTGCTACACGCACACACAACACTGGTGGTACTGTACGTGACCAGGAGGGGACAGGTGGAAACCGAGTACCCACATGGATGTTAGAAAGAACTTTTTCAGTGTCAGTAGTTAACAGATGGAATGCATTAGGCAGTGATATGGTGAAGGCAGAGTGCATTCATAGTCTCAAATGTAGAGCCCAGTAGGTTCAGAAATCTGTACACCAGATGATTGACTGTTGAGGGGCGGGACCAAAGAGCCAGAGCTCAACTAGGTGAGTAGAGTACACGCACATCAGGCACCCCCCCCCCCTCCTGTTTACAATACTGGAACCCCTATAACAATCTACAGTATATAATCTCTTAGAAGACTAAAATTCTAACTACAGCACCATGCAACAAACTGTACGCAAGCACAGAGTCTTGAATTCTATCATCAACAGTAGGCTTTACCTGGAGAGTCAACAGCAGTTGCAAGCAAAGAAGGTTTTAGCAGTGCTAAAAGCTCAACACAGGGCTGGTCGTCACTAACGGCAGAATCTGACTTTTTGTCACTAGATACCATCGCCGATTCACATATTTTATATGTCGGAGCCTCAGGGATCAAATGCACAGGAAGAGGTGATCCTGGAAAATACAGAATAACAAGATTTGGTTCAGTCTGTCAAGTGTCAAGGGAAGTACAGTTGGGTACAGAATAGTGGGGATTTTGGATGCAGGTTATTACCTTTCCCCTACATGCTATAGTTATAGCATATATACAGTGCTACTTCCGTTGTGAATTTAATCCGTTCCCCCGAGACGGTTCGTAAACCGAAACAAATTTTCCCTTAAGAAATAATGTAAATTTAATTAATCCGTTCCACACACCCAAAAATATTAACTTCAAAATACATTTTAGACATAATACTACAAATATTTTGTACTATAGTATGCACAAGTTATATCTTACCTTTATTGATGACTTGTTGGCATATGGAAGACACTGAGGAGGGAGGGAGGGAGGAGAGGTGTTAGTGTTTGGAAGAGGATTCCCCTTCCATTATAACAACAGGCAGTGATGACTAATCTGGGGTACTCTCTCCTTTGTTTTGCAGACATACCACTAGGACTTGGTTGTGAGTCTCGGCTTGCTTGTCTTACAAAGAATCTGTCTAAAGACACTTGTTTTTCCCTACATTTTAACACTTGTTTGTAGTGAGACATCACATTGTCATTAAAATGGTTAATGCAACTGCCTGCTACAGCTTTATCTGGGTGACACTTTTCAGCAAAACTTTGCAGTTCTTCCCATGCTGCACACATTTTCTTAATTAATGAGGAAGGGACATCCTCTACTGCCACCGCCTCCTTCCCTGAAGAATTTCCTTAGCGCTCTTGTTGTTGCTCCTTTAGACGGACTAGGAGTTCGTCGCTGTGTTCCTCCACCAACTCCTCCACATCAGCACCATCCAGCCTAGCTAGTACAACCCTCATACCATTTTCATGTTTACGAATGATCTCGTGTTTTTCCTCTATTGTCATCCTCACATTTGTTTTCTTAGGTTGAACCTTACCACTGACTTTTTTGGGACTCATGGTGCGATATAATTTTATGTTCAGAAACCAGAGAAGCACAAAAACGATTAAATTCTTTGCAAAGAATTCAGCGCGATTGTCACTAGGTGGGAGATACAGTACTGGTAAATTGAAGCGTGCCTCACCCTTGCCACCAGGAACCACGGGCTTGTCGACCCATAGGTGTATCAACAAACTCGCCAAGCGAGGCAAAGCTTGTAAACCAAGTAAAATTTTTCAAAGAAATTGAGCTCATATACCAAAAAATTTGTAAAATGGAGTACAGTACTAGTATTTGTAAACAGAGGTTCCACAAGTTATATGTAACTGTACTATAGTTCAACATAACTTGTGCATTTGTCCACTGAAATAAGACAGGTATAACAACAACAGAAGACTGGACCTAGCAGCCCTACACATCAAGAAGTCAAGACCAACAATCAACAACCAGTCAACACAATTACATTCTACCCACTTCAAGACCCCAAAACCAACACAGAGACAGTAGAAGCAAGAACATCATTTATTAATAATAGCCAATTAATATCCATTATGTTTCATCCACTTGTTCATCTCAATCACATCCTGTACCACCTCACCCCACGAGAAAAAAAGCTCTTGCTCAAGCATTGTAAATTTAAACAAACCCACAAGGGTTTCAAGGGTATTTATTTGAAGGAATGCAGTGGATAGGCTTTATGGTCACAAAAAATTTCCATTATATTCTTACCATCTGTAGGGACTTCTGGAAACTTTTGGAAATCTGGTGTGGAACAGCTTCGTCTTTTTTTTGTACGTCGAGAGACATCAATCCATGGAGATGTCTCAATCTTCCACGATACTTTTGATTGACGTTCAAGACTCTCTGAGAGAAAAAAAAAATAATAATAATAATTTCAACAAATAAAAAAATTTCATAAAATTGCAAAGTACTATACATGAAAATGTAGACAGTGTAACAGATCAAATCACATTCAAACAGATAGTAGTTTTGGTCTATTTCAAAATAAATTCCATTTTGTATCCAAAGTATCACACATTTATCATTCTATTATGAGATATTTTAACATTGCTTCAGAAGGATGCCATATATGATCATTTAGTATGGTACATAGTTTTCAAAACCATTCATCTGTGTTTAAGAATGAATTACCATAAATTTTGCACACATCTTAAACTCTTTGAATAACCATGTAGCAAAAATCAATAATGGCTGTATTTTTGACATTTGCAATACGTTCACACTTTTTTCTAAGGAGGGGTAGAAATAGCCTAAGCTACTCTATCCCTTTGAGATGTATTTCTTTCTTATCTCAATAAACATACTTGAACTTCACACTTTTTCTCATGTGCATTTTCATCAAGTCTAGGGGGGAGGGGGGTAACTAGATTTAAAAAATATTGTAAAATATTAAAATAAATTATTTAATTGCATATTCAACCAAAATCTTAAGTATACATGTAATTTCAGTCTCTCACTGCAGTTAAAACCAGACACAGGATTGTATCGACTCCTAAATATGGTTATCAAACCACATTTGGACACAGATTCCCAACATATCCCATAGATAGCTTGAACTGAAAATGTTTATGGTTTTGGATAACTGGATGAAACATGTTTGTAAAAGACCATGTGGTTTGTTTTGAATATTGACCCATATCATCCCAAACCTGTTTTCACAGGGTCAATGAAACAGAACCCAACGTTAACCTTGTGCTTCCACTCATTCACAAGTATACATTATAATACACGCTGGTATATCGCGCGTCACGCGAGAATACACGATAATACAAGCAGGTGGTGTATTACAAGTCACGAGAGACTGGCTGGCTGGCCGGACGGTCCTGGTGTTCTTGTTCATATCAACCTCCTCTCTTGTTTAATTTGTATCCATAACATCCCATTATTTTTTTATCAATTGATCTTGTCACCTCTCATCCCACCAAGTAGTTCCTCTCATTCCACCAAGTAGATCCTCTCATCCTACAAGTTGGTGCAGCTTCACACACTTCCTTCGCATTTTCAACCAAACATTTCTTGTGTACATCCCACACTATAGTTCATTTCTTTAAGGTCTCTTCCACCATGATCACTTAACACACTTGTAATCATCTACCAATCTTCTATTACTTTACCTTGTTGAACCCTTAGGTAGTATGATTACACCACACTTGTCATACATAGCACCAACGTGCAATCATTCAGATATTCTCACTATATTTCTTTCAATCATTGTCATCATCTCTCAGCAAGCACACTTGCATTATGCCCTACACCACAATACAAAATATATACAATTATGGTCAGAACTCTTGTATACTGATTTAGTTCCCTCCTCTGAACCTGATTTCTGAGCTACCAGTAGTCACCTTCCCCCTCATCCTTCACTTTCTAAACATAACATTTGTCCATGCAAGTGACAGTGTTGTAAAAGTGATTACATATAATCTTGAACAAGAAATTTTGAACTTAAAAAGCTATGTTATGTGTGTAACTAAGGAATAACCTAATCTAGAAATATAATTTACTGTATTTAACTAGAATTGTTCAACTTACTGGGCGTTATTAGTAGTGATGAACTTGACACTTTATCAGCCTTTGGAGTAATCTGCACCTTTTTTTCACTGGATATACTTTCTCCATCTGGCATCTTAAATTGTTTGCGACTCTCCACTGCAGCAGCCTCATGCATTTGTTCATTTTCTATTACTGGCTCATGTTCTTTAACAATGTTCTTCAAAACCGTGCTCTCAACATCAGAGGACAACTCTGGTATAATTTTAGCGCTATTCATGGAGTGTCGATAACTTTTTCGACCAGGTGTCCGTCGACTAGGAGTGAACTCGGGTTGTGGATCACAATGAGCAGAAAGCGAGCGTCTTGTATTACGGCTACATGGAGTACGGGGACGCAGTCTAGAAAGGCTTGGTGTTAAAATCCCATCCCCACAGCATGCAACCGACTTCCTTGTATAACGATTCCTTGGGGTAGCCACACTACTGCGTTTACTTGCTTTGCCAACCTTGTCATTGGTAAATGGTGTAGCCTTACACTCCCTTGCAGCACCATCGGGTTCATCATCAAGTGCCATTTTTTCACCGACATCCATTGTGTTAATTTCGCCCTTCATGACGTAAGGAATTTGATCTGAATTTCCTGCGGTAACCTGTACCCCATCACTGACATCACTTTCAATTTTTTCATCCAACAATTGCTCATCTGCTTTAATTTCCTCTACACTCTCCTCACTTTCAAGCTCTTCCACTTTCATCATCTCCACTTCAGTAAATGCTTTGCTCTCCTCAGCAGGCTCCCCAGCTTCACCTTCCTCGACCTGCTCCTCAGCTTCCCCTTCCTTGGCCTGCTCCTCAGCTTCCCCTTCCTCGGCCTGCTCCTCAGCTTCCCCTTCCTCGGCCTGCTCCTCAGCGTCCCCTTCCTCGGCCTGCTCCTCAGCTTCCCCTTCCTCGGCCTGCTCCTCAGCTTCCCCTTCCTCGGCCTGCTCCTCAGCTTCCCCTTCCTCGGCCTGCTCCTCAGCTTCCCCTTCCTCGGCCTGCTCCTCAGCTTCACCTTCCTCGGCCTGCTCCTCAGCGTCCCCTTCCTCGGCCTGCTCCTCAGCGTCCCCTTCCTCGGCTTGCTCCTCAGCGTCCCCTTCCTCGGCCTGCTCCTCAGCTTCCCCTTCCTCAGCCTGCTCCTCAGCTTCCCCTTCCTCAGCCTGCTCCTCAGCTTCAGATATTTGTCCTTCACATTGATCCACCTCTTCCTGATCCTCTTCCACTCCACTGTCCTTCTCTTGTTCGTGAGCTTCAGGTGCCACACCTGCATCCTCTTGTCTCAAGCCTGCTGCATCATCAGCCATGTGTGCACTATCCATCTCCGCTGATTTGTCCCTTTCAATACCAATTTTTTCTGCTGCTTCATTTCTTAGATGGGCTTCTGACTGGCCATCACAGAACTTATCCTCTTCTTCAAAAGCACCCCCATCTGAACTTCCATTACCAAAACTTCGTTTGTTTGACGCCTGTAAAAAAAAAAATATATAAATAAAATCCAGAACACATTAATTATGGAACACACACTGAAAGTTATGAGACATATAAATTTAAAGTATTTTTTCCCACAATATGTAACTTAATTCCAATTAGAAATGACATGGATCAAACACACAGGAAATCTGTAACCAATTCATCTGAATCACCGCACTGTACATAGTTGATCAGTGAACCAAGAAAATTGCAAGCAAGTTTTATGGCAAATACACAAGGTGTCTCAAAACGTACACACATTTACATGGCGCTGGATTAATGCTGATCCAATATTACTTCACATGCATCTTCCTGCTAGGGCTTGAAGCCTGCTAATTCACTTCAAGTATGTGACAAGTGAAGCATACTGTGCTATACTTATAATAAAATGTTGAACTTCTGAATTATTTCAGTGGTGTATTCCTAAACATTTGTACCACTTTTTGAACAATTTCATAACAATAAACAACTGTACAATGTTTGTACCAAAGATCATGGGTTAAGAAAGTAAAAATCGTGAGTAAAAGAACCAATTATTATCTGAGCAAAGTCATGCTGTGTATACTCTCCTGGCCATTTCAATAATGTCAACATGTAAGAAGTACAGTACATATTGCTGGATATATATATACATACTGCTGCTGCGCCTTTCAACACACCACTGTAAATATAAAGTTTCTAATGCTGTTCAAGGAGAGTATAATTTAAACAGTTTAGTCAAAGAATAACAGGTTTTGCTCCAGGTATTTGTTCTGCGAGACAAAGATGACTTATTCGAATCGATTATTGTTTAAGCCCCCACTTTGCCCAGTTATTTGTTTGATCAGAACACACGATTAATAACTACGTATTAGCCCAGTTTTACATCTCACTCGTACTTTGAGGACTTTATGACGATAAAAATTACTCACCTCAAACTTAAAAGTAAAATCACTTGGAGCAAATGACGGTAACAGTGAATCATTCCTCTTGCATCTTTTTGTAATTAAAGCTTGATTAGGTTTTGGTGTAGCTGGAAGAGGCTTTACCCCCAGTTCTTCTTGGTCATTTGCTTTCTTTAATCTGGTTGAACGGTACCGACTGCTAAGTGGCATCTTATCCTGCTTGCTATATTCTGTAATGGAGGTTTAATTATTTTTCTAGCTATGCTGAATGTAATTTATTGAAAATTACAGTATTCTACTGAATGTTAATGTGAACACAGTATTAATACATGCTGGGAAAATCACAATGGCACGATGCATTAGTGTGAATCATAGGAGCAATCCAGGTATTCAAACAAGCATTCTGAGTCACCCCCAGAACAGCGGGTTAACAGGCATGGTTGGGGGTGACCAAGCAACCTGTTCTACAAAGAACATTGCTTTTCCCTCATATACATTACTTAAGGCCAAAAACTGTCATACTAGAAAATAGAAGCGGCTAGCGAAAGTGACATACTGCCCCATTTCCTGTTTTGGGTCCTCTTGTAGGTTAGAAGAGGACACATTAAATTGACCATTTTCTTGACATTGGGAAACCTTAGGACGACGGGCTGGGCCAAAGAGAGCGCTGGTTCGAGTCTTTGGATTGCTCCAATGATTTGCACACAGTATTAATGCTACTGTAAATATTCTTACAATATTCAAAATTATATTAAAAAAAAATTACATGAACAAGTTGTACCTACCAGGTCTAGCTGTCCTTAATCCTGCTCGGGTCGATGCAACTTTACATTCTTGATCCTTCTGCAGAGTGAGAGACTTGTTTTTGCAGAACGAATCATGTCTTAGGATTCCCCCCATCTTGAGCATATCATTGGGAGTGACACCAGTGCGAAAACGTGGTACTGATGTGGAGGGCGTGACCCCAGTGGAGCGCTTTGGTATCTTCTGCACTGATGTGCCTGGAGTAACTCCAGTGTGAAACACTGGTATTTTCCGCCGAACTATAGTCCCAGAAGTACTTGGTGTAATGCTGGATTTTTTGGTTGAACTCACAAGGAATTTGAAGGGAGTTTTCTTGCTGGGAGTCTCACTCACAGATGTTTCCTAGTTAAAAATAAAATAAAAATGGAATTATATATGAATACCACTGAACTCCAATTAGCGTAGAATTCCCAAAATGGAACCCATCCAGTATGTTTATCTTCAGCGTTCTTGCCCTACCCCTGCACGTCTGACTGAAACATTCTGGTCATCTTGGGGGGGCTGCCCTGTGATTCCTAAATTGTTATACTTTAACATTATTTAAATTTGGGAGTTATAACTAATATTTAGTGTCAAAATGTTCCCAAATGAATGTTCTAGAATTGATAGAAAAATAGATAAAATAGTCACAATTGACTACAAAATTGTTTATTAATATTACAACATTCATCATTTATTTTTCAATATAAAAAATGGAAATGTGTACACATGATCATTCTATATATATTGTAAGTATAAAATTAAACAACTGTCATACTTTTCCACCAAGAAATTTGTAAAGCAGAAAGAAAATAATCATGAGCACAGCCAATATCTTCTCGAGTTATTGTGTGTTTGGCCGAGTTGATCTCAAGGTAAATCCCTCGATAAAGTATGATATTTTGGTCCTGATGAGCTCGATCACTGTGCTCCACACTGTACATATGTACAGTGTGGACCAAGTATTTAAAGTTTCAATATGAAAGTGGAAACAGACTGGTCAAAGAAGTGATAATCCTTACTGGACTGATGGTGCTACAATGTATCAACAATGTTGAGTATGCGTGATGTAAGAGCAGTGAGAAGATTTTGATTTTTTTTTTATCATAAATCTACCTAAAATGAAGTTTGGGTAACTTTTAACACTAAATAATCTAGCATACATTACCCCCCAAAACAAGCACAATCTCTTGGGTTGGGTCTACATATACTGTATGCCCAATAGAGATCTACTTACACCATAATTATCAGTAACTGGGGGGAGCAGTGACAAACTTATTTCAACTAAGAACAAAAGAAGGCTTTCCCTTTCGAGTTCAAGACTGTCTCAATCTACAAATAATGTTTTGCCTTAATCAAAAGTGCACAATATGTCAAGATCACAACAGGTGCAACAGTAGTATGCTTGCCCTGTGCTTTGAAATATTGGTGGGATGGGTTAAAGCTCTAGGATGCACTAAGGAACTTGCATTACAAGTTAATTATCACATCATAATCCAGGAAAAAATGGTAAGGAACGGCTATAAAACACATTTTTGCAACGATCCATAAATCAATTGCAAAAACATAAAAAATATACAAGAGGCTTGAAAGTAGAGGTTCAAGGAAGGTGGCTGAAGTGGTTTTCAACAGTGAATCTTTTTTTAAATTTTTCCCACTTTGCTTTTGTCAACAAAATGGCTGGAGCAAATGTCTCCCAAAAGTTTAGTTTTCACTTCTAATGTATCTGGGAGGCTTATGTGTATACCTTTTTCTATATGCCTAGACTTGCATTGTATCCGCATTAAACTACAGTATTGGGTGATCTCAAGACACTTTCCGCAATGACAGAGAGTCTGGTTGGTAGAAGTGATAAGAGAGATGCACGTGTGAACTTGTTTTGATTTGATGCTGTGAGAAAAGTGCAAGATTGTATGGAAGATGCGTGTGCTGCATATTAGTCAAGTTGAAATGCGGGAAATTTGCAAATGGTGTTTAAATTGTATGAAGAATGGGATGCTTTGGGGAGAAAAAGACTTGAGATGTCAGGAGAATTTGCCGTAAGGCATAGACTAACGTCACTTGAGAAGATTGGAAAATATTTGTGATTTACCATTTCAGTACAGTATATCCAAATAAAGGAGAAGATGGTAAGGGCAAGAATCACAGAAGCATTATTCACTAAGTCCCTGGTACAGTAGGCAAAATAAATGGCAGGATAGTGATTTGAAGAGTACACAAAATTACTTAGATTGATCAGTGATGAGAGGAGATTCTGTGATGGAAGATGGTGTGCAGATTTGATATCTGAATTGTAATAAAAACCTAGAAAGATTGCAAGACATTATTTAAATCTGCAAAATTAACTTGGAGCAAGTGGCAACCTATAAAACCAAATTCGAGCACATTAAGAGTTTACGGTATCAAGCACTATATTTATTTGTTTTTCTGGAATGTTCCAGATAATTTTGTCAATAAAATTTTATACAAGTAGCCTTGCTGATGAAGCAGTCATCAGAGAAGCCTGGCCAGACTATATGATGCGAACAACTAACACAGATACAGACAACTCGCTCCCTTTCTCGCATGCCATAGGCAGGAAGCTTTTAATGTACATGCAGTCTAGGCCTAGTTAAGCAAAATCAGTTTCAGTACACTCCAACTGCATGACAAAACTCAATTATCAATAATGGTTGGACACTCGAGCCAATGAGACAAATGAGCATATTCTGTCTGGAAGACTACTTGTAGCCAAGCATGGGACAAAGGACCTTTAATTCTTATACTGTACCTTCGTTCACATTTAGCTATAACCAATTATTCAATCTGCACTCAACTTAAAAAAAAAACTTACCACGTTACCATCTGAAGAAACCAAGAATTTGGGGGTTTCTGGGTGATATATTCCGGTCTTGAATGAAGGAAGACGCCTTCTCTTCTCCTTGTCAAGTGTCTTTTTCTTATTTTCCTTCCATTTCAAAAGTTGCTTGTAGCGCTCAACTGAAATTTTAAATCAAATTTTTAAGTCCGACAAAAAATTACTTTATAATATGTACATTATATTTTGAGGAAAAAAAAAAAAAAATGTTCAGAAGCCATTTTAATTGAGCAAAAGCTTTTAAGAAATTTATTAAAATACTGTATTCTCAAACAATAATCTGAATATTGTTGGGATACAATGATATCCTATACGAATGCCTTGCTTTATTTGTGTGATTTAAATTAAACAAAAATTTAACATTCACTGTATAGGTTAATTGTTAATTTTTCTGATTCCTTAACACCTTAAATTTCAAGCCATTTCTAATTAAAAATACATCTAAGGGAAATTATTAATAATATTCACTTTTGACATGAATTAAATGCTATTCTCTTATTTTGGTAACCCAAAGTGCATCCAAGCCAATCCTCAGATGTGCCATTACCAAAATATTATGAATATATTTATAGTTTCTCACACAAAGGCAACAAATATTGTCCACAACAATAACTAAAACATCCCAATTACATTTCTTTAAGCTTGACAGGATCATTAACTGGAATAGATTGTTTGACAAAGAAAATTATCCTACCAAATGCAAAGAATTCACAATAACGTGGCTGAAGATATGTTGACCAAACCACACATCAGAAGACGGAGAAACGACATTTCGGTCGTCCTAGACCATTTTAAAGTTGAATGTTTTCACACTTGACTTGAAAATGGTCCAGGATGGACTGAAACGTCCTCGTTTCTCCACATTCTGATGTGTGGTTTAGTCATCCTATCCTACCAACGCTTAATTTCAACTAAACAGCCACTGCTGAAAGATAATTTATCAAATCACTTCTGCCAACTCTCTTTACTATTGATAAATTGTTTTCATTTGGCTTGTGAATTCAGAGAATTCTATAACAAATGTTCAAGAGATGTGTAAATATTTCATTCAAAATGATCTACCAGAAATCTTAGCCAAATATCTCGTTTGCTTACTGTAGGTAGTAAATAAGTGGTTGTAACCTATCCATCACTGCCCACTGGATGGGGGGGGCGGTGTGCAGGATAAACATTTCAATGTGACACTAGTTTTCAACATATGTCAGTTGCTTGATTTAGAAACTGTACTCATGGTCGGTCTCAAGCCCATTGATGATGTGACGATGTGCACTGAATTTTGTAATTAGCTCATCAAGACTAACTTGCTTAGCTAAATAAATTGTCGTGTTCAGTCCCTGAGCCCATTAGGTGCCTCTGTAACCCTTTCCACTACCACTCACAAGATTGATTGACTGATGAAGATTAAGCCACCCAAGAGGTGGTACAGACATGAATAACCCATAAACCCACAAGATGGGTATGGGGTGCATAATAAATGAACTATATAAAAATAATCATTTGATTTGTTACAACTACTCTGTACCTTGGGACAGGTGGGGATGTGCTGAATTTAAATGCATATTTGGAATGTACTATACATTAATTTGACACACTTACCATCCCATAAGCCTGTGCAACTCCCAACATAAATCAAGTCAGAAAATTTATACTACTGAAGCGTACCCAACCAACTTTACATTTTTATTTACTTACTCCCAAGTTCCTTCTTAGTCTTTTTGACCTTTTCCTCAAGATTGTCTTGTTTTATGATGCTCTGATTATTATTTGGACGGATGCTGTCAACCGAATCATTAAAATTTTCCAACTGGCGTCGATTGGTGATGGCATTGTTGCGCTGGGCTTTCCACCCTTCTTGGTACTTGACGGCTCTCAAGGCTCGAGAGTCTGAAGTGGAATTGAACTGTAAACCTCGTTGTTTGTACCTGAAATTATTGAAAATTCAAAATCAATCATCATCAAGGTTGATCTAAGTCAAATTCAAAATCAATTAGATTTCCTCCTTATAGATACTTAGAGAAACCAAACTATTATGATTATATAGCACTGGGAAGGAATCAGGATAAGGATTTGGGATGGGACGGGGGAGGGAAGGAATGGTGCCCAACCACTTGGACAGTCAAGGAAAGTTTGAAATGTAATTAGCCTAAATTAAATTACAATACTGTATAGTGTATGGAAAAAGTGCAAAACAGTGCACGAAGGTATATACACATTTTTGTGCATGAATCTAAATTAATTTCCATTAATATTACTGTACATAAGTATTTTCTTAAATTTTACCTCATCTAGCTTATACCATACAATCAACTGGCTTAATTTTCATTGACAGTCTAATGACAGAATTGCAAAGATGGGATTCTAATGCAACAACACCTTAAAAATAACCTAACGATGAGCGTGCACACTGCTTGAATAACGAGTCGTATTTAACTACTCCCAATTATTTCAATTATCCAGCAATATGAAATAAAATTCTTAAGAATGAAATAATTCCTATTCTATTCATGAGATTAACAAAATGACAGTGTTTATTATTCAGAACTGTTGTAGAATAAAATCACTTGTGTAATTTGTCGGTGAATCATTGCATATACAAAATGATGTGAATCCTTTAAGTTCTTGGCAGTTTTTTTTAAACAAATTATGTGTTTGGTCATTATGGCTATGATTATATATAGACCTATTGCCGTCTACAAATCACTTCTTAAAACTGTACAATGGATATAATTTTGAATTTAATAATTAATTTAAACCAAATGCAGTAATGATAAACCTTATCCAATAGAATAATATAGTGGTGAAGGTGCACATATATAACAAAGCTACTAAATACAAATTTATGGAAAACAAAGGTACTAAATACAAATTTATGAATGAATCTTTGCGTGTGCGCACAATGTGTACCAAATGACGGAATCACTACGATAGGAGCCGGGAGGGGGGCCAGGGCTCCCTTAAGAGGGCCAAACATCAACCAAGGTGTCTGTATTCACCCACCAGCAGCATTAATGTATTCCATAAGGCTTTTCCTATTACCCCCTTAACGGGAATGCTCATTGTCGCCATAACCCTTCCCCCCTCCTCCTAAATCTACACTTAATTAAACTGGATTAGGTGAGCTAGTATTTAATACAACAAATAATTAGCAGAAGCCTATTAGACATGAACTGATATGTTATAGTAGTTTAAAAAAAAAAAGTGTGAAAGAGTAGACATGTTATAGTTAGAACCACAACGCCCCTTAACTCTCACAATGGGAATTAAAATACACACACACACACACACAAACAGTTCTCTACTTCCGCCACAGACAAGGTTATACAAGGCTTCGAGTTTTTTTCAATATTGAGCGCTGATGAAGCACGACAAACTTTTTTTTTTTTGGGTGCAGGTCATGACCCTCCCCTTAGGCCTACCACCCAGCATGGTGGGGGAGGGGGCGAAGCCACTCACTGTTCGTCACTAATTCTTGCCGCTCTTACACTTTTCTTTAGAGACCTCTATATCCCTCCTAAATCAGGCGAGGATATATGTAAATAGACATGACCCTTAAGCCCGACAAAAACAATGTAGGCTGACAACAAACACCAACAACAACACACACACACACATCACTTGTGTTACATATATACATAAGTATATATATATATATATATACCTCCTCTGATCCATGATTTCCTGAAAGGGAAAGAAAAAGGTTAACGCGTAGACCGGACTGACGTCCACCGCTCACGGATGATCACTTTGAACTGACCAATGGCGGTTGGGCCGCGGGCGCCAGGCGAGCCTCGCCTTGCGCACCCTAAACCTTTATTTACTAACATTTAAAAACCCCTAAAAGCAAAATAAAACAAACATTGCAACGTACTATAGGAATTAGTAAGGATAGTCTGTGATACAGATATGTATATGCGAAGCCCGTGGTATATCTGTATACTCTCTTTTGAATAAATCAGATACACGCCTAATTTGATACCAAATTATAATTTCTGTCTTACGTAAATATATTTAGTGTAAATAATTTCATGCCAACATTGCAAAAAATATAACAAAATCGCTCTGGTTCCTTTAAGAAACAATTGTCATAAGTTTGGAGGAAGCTATATATATATATTGAGTACAAATACAAAAAAAATATTAATAATGGTATCAGAGTCAATTTCATTTGGAGATAAATGATTTGTGTGGAAGCTATCGACCAAGTAGCTTTAAGTTTATTGTGGAATTTTTTTTTGAATCGATAATTCAAGATATTTATATAGATTTTATGCACAGCAATGTGCTGCTACCCTATTCTATATGAAAGATTAGACAGTGTAGATAAAAAAAAAATAGCTATAAGTTCATCTATTTACTCCCATCTCATAAGATGGTTAGTCATACATAGAATCAGGGAAGAAAATACCTGCCTTAATACAAATATAAATTAACGTTGACTAAATAATATACGATTTTCATAAGCACTGAATCATGGAAATATTATATTATAATTATTTTTTTACCAATTTCTATAGGATTCCTCTCAAATAATGTTTTTTTTAACATGCTTAGGTATACACAGTAATGTGCTGTGCTATCCTATTCTGTATGAAGGACCACACAGTGTAAATAAAAAAACCAGCTACAAGCTTATCCAACATTCCCACCTCACAGGATGGCCAGTCATACATGGAATCAGGAGAGAACATGAAATGTAAGTCTGATCTATTAGCCTACACTAGCAAAATCTGGGTACATAGACGCAAGAATATCTTCCAATATTCCTGAGCGTCTGAAGTAATTACGGAGCTCAAAGTACCTCATACCATTTGGTCAGAAGTTACTGAAAACAGGTCAATCACAGATATAGTGTTGGAGAGTATGTCCCCAACTCTTGTTCACATAGTTTACAATTGGAATGTTCACCATTGGAGGGATTCATCGCCTGCAGCCACCTGCCATGGCTATCGATATCGCAGCCTAGTTCTAGCACTTACAATGTCACACTGCCTAATGGATGTATTATACTGCCCGTACATGTAATTCTCGGTTATAAACATGTCATGTCTCTTTATACTCGTGCTTTCTGGCCTTTGACAGTAACTGCGTTTCTCTCTTCCCTAATTTCCTGAAATACTGCGGTTTTTACAGCAGAGTTTGAATGCCCATATCCCACTCAATTTCAGTCTTATCCAATGCAGTTTTACCTGCCTTGTTTGTGCTATAATTTATTGTTATTTTTGTGCTATCATTTATTGTTATTTTTATTTATTTGTTTATATATATAAGAAGGTACATTGGGTTTATTGGATTACATAGCATTTGATGTTTTACATTCTTGCAGAGCCACTAACACGCATAGCGGTTCGGGCAGGTCCTTAATCTAACAAGTAATTATAAATAGGTAATTTGTAGCAAATTTTAAAGAATACTGGACAACACCTATGCAAGATGGTATCCGTACAAATGAGACTCTGAAACTCTTGCTCTTTGCATTAATAATGTTGTTTATAATGGATGTTAAAACATTCCTAATATCTATTTTGTATGTTGGGTTTTTAAGGGCCTGAAGAGGTGACTTTGAATCAGAAAAATACTCCCCCGTCCCACTGTTCTTCAGTGCAGTGTTCTTCAGTTCTGGAAGTTGTAGTACAGGTAATTCTGCAATTGGAAAAATTGTTTAGAAAGAATGGGAGAGACAAATCCACAAGGGCCGTGACGAGGATTCGAACCTGCGTCTACCATGTCGTAGCTCAGTCGATTAAGGCAGTGTCTGGGATGCTCCCGGACGCAGGTTCGAATCCTCGTCACGGCCCTTGTGGATTTGTTCATTTGATGCATTACGTTAGTGTGATTTCTGTGTGTAATGGGGGGGGGGCGACCTTTGACAAGACGCCGGCTTTCTGTCACCGTCGTTACTAGCGAGATGGTTGGCTTCAAGTAAACAAGTGATGAAAAATGGTGAATCACTTCTGGTAGTCAAACAACATAAACATACGCAAGTTGACCATTATAAATTCTGAAATGTTTGAAATTCTAATTTTTGTAAAAGGCTGTCATAGAAAACGTAAACTGTTTAAGCAGAAGCTAGCATATTCTTATATCGATGCATTTGATGGGGATTTTATTTATTAATTTATATATACAACAGTTCTTATATTCTTACAAAGCCACTAGCACGCATAGCGTTTCGGACAGGTCCTTAATCCTAATTTTCCCTGGAATATGACCCGCCAAATCGTTTAACAACCAGGTACCCCATTCACTGCTGGGTGAATAGAGGCTACAGTTAAGGATTGGCGCCCTGTCAATCCTCCCCGGCCAGGATACCAACCCAGGCCAAAGCCCCGAGCGAGTTCAAGTTCGTTCTTTGAGACAATAAAATACATTCAAAGGGTTAGAGTATCTTAGGCTATTTCTACCCTCCTGGCCGGCCGTGTATCTTACCACTGCACCACGGGGGCTGCTAAGGCTTGAGTTTGAGTGCCCAACCACTTGGGCTGGACGGTAGAGCGACGGTCTCGCTTCATGCAGGTCGGCGTTCAATCACCGACCTTCCAAGTGGTTGGGGCACCATTCCTTCCCTCCCCGTCCCATCCCAAATCCTTATCCTGACCCCTTCCCAGTGCTATATAGTCTTAATATGGCTTGGCGCGTCCCCCCCCACCCCCTGACAATTCCCTTCCCTATTTTGGGGGACAGGAAGACTGCTGTTACAGACCTCGCGGTCGTCCAAAGATAACGTCTCGTCTTATCTAGTATGTATCCCACAGAAGTCTGCCTAATCCTCGGGTGAAAAAAGGTAAACAAAGCCATTTCCCCGAAACGCTGTAAATGTGTTAGGAACTTTGCAACATGTCCCCCCCTTTTTTTATTCCTTTTTTCAACACAATTTATACTCTAATCTCAATTACTATTACGTTTAAGTCTAAGTGTCTTTTTTTTCTCTCACACCTTGCCCGAAAAGCTAATATGCGTATTAGTGGCTTCAGGTCTTGTAGCTTTAGGTATAGTTCTATCTATAAATCCAACATTATGTTTGTAACTCATCATCTATGTATGAACTTTTACCTGAATAAACATTATCTTATCTAGTATATTGTTGTTGTTAAAGATTCGCTACCTGGAACAAAGTTCCAAGTAGCACGGGCTATGGTGAGCCCGCCTTATCTAGTAAGAGGGCCGGGGAAAGCGACGTTGTGTCAGCTTAGCATAAGAGCGGCGTGGGCAGCGGGCTGCCTGGGCCCCCTCCTCCTTCAGTAGCTCTCACTAACTCCCACACATTACAATCTGCAGAGGGCGGTGAGGTCGTGCAGCAAGTATATCAAGATGTCGTACACTTCCTCCAATTTTTCGGGCTATTCATGCCCGTGTCACCTTTTGGGTGGCTTAATCTTCATCAATCAATCAATCAATCAATCTTGCTCCAAAGACTTTCATTAGGCTCATGATGGATAATGAGATGCAGGCGATGAATCACAATAACGTGGCTGAAGTAGTTTGACCAGACCACACACTAGAAGGTGAAGGGACGACGACGACGTTTCGGTCCGTCCTGGACCATTCTTAAGTCGATTGAGCTTAATCTTCGTGAGATGTGACCTGATAATTCTACATAACGTATCTCTAAGAGGTCCACATTCCAAGAAGTTCTACACTAATCCTCAGGCCACTAATTACAATTAATATCTCTTCCCAAGTGTACAGACATCGCTAAGGACCGCTCTTGTGCCAGGTAAGTCCACTAGGGGCTCACCATAGCCCGTGCTACTTGGCACTTGTCCCGAGTAGCTGAATCTATAACAACAACAACCTTAGTGAGGAGAGACTTGTAATGTAAGCCGTTGACAGGAGGTCGTTAGATTACGGGCTATTCATGCCCGTGCCACCTCTTGGGTGGCTTAATCTTTAGCATATTGACGATTGACGATTAATCGGTCGTCAAAGGGATTGCTGTAGGGAGAGATTACCCTACGGAGAGATTAGGAGCCGTTGTTGTTGTTGTTATAGATTCAGCTACTGGGAACAAAAAGTTCCAAGTAGCACGGGCTATGGTGAGCCCGTAGTGGACTTACCTGGCACAGGAGCGGGGCTGTGGATTAGGAGGGAGATATTACTAAAGGGATGGAGGAAGGAGTGAGAAGGATTACTCCAGGAAGGGAGGGAGGGAGAGATGGAGGGATGAAGGTATTATTTCAGGGAGAGATTACTCCAGGGAGGAGGAGAGGAGTTACTCCAAAGGAGGGAGAGAAAAAAGCAGGGATAAATTATTCCAGGGAAGGAGAGAGAGAGAGCGAGAGCGAGAGAGAGAGAGAGAGAGAGAGAGAGAGAGAGAGAGAGAGAGAGAGAGAGAGAGAGAGAGAGAGAGAGAGAGAGCGAGAGCGAGAGCGAGAGCGAGAGCGAGAGAGAGAGAGAGAGAGAGAGAGAGAGAGAGAGAGAGAGAGAGAGAGAGAGAGAGAGAGAGAGAGCGAGAGCGAGAGAGAGAGAGAGAGAGAGAGAGATGTCTTCAGGGAAGGAGGGAGATGGGGGATTACTACATGGAAGAGAAAGGCTGAGATTACTCGAGGAAGGAAGAAGTAGGGAATTACCCCAGGAAGAGGAAGGAAGAAAAGGGGATTACTCCAGGGAAGGAGCGAGAGAAGGAGATAAGATATAAAATAAAGAGAGAGCTAAAGGATGTTAAGGAGAGTCCTTAAATAGAGCCAAACTATGAACCCCTCTAGAGGTGTCAAGGTGACAGAGGGCAGCACTGTGCTTGGCCTCTTGTGTAATGTC